GCATCACATTTTCTTGCTAAAGGGCCAGTTGACAGTTGTGCGATACGGGCATTTTCAATTCTAAAAAACCCCCAAAGGTGCTCCCCTAGCATATTTGTGACTACTCCTATTAAAGGCTGAACTCCCTTCTACTATTTTAACCAATGATTAATTAATTCCCAATTCCCACACACTTTCTTTAAGCCTTCCAATTTTTTCCTGGTCCACAAATTATAATAAAAGATTACATCTCCATCCTTGATTGTGTCCCTTCCCCATTAAAAAAAATGTACAAATGTACAGACCCTACCTACCCTATTTTGACAGCACCGACCCTGATTTTTTGTGGGGGGAGGGGACTAAAAGTGAGGAAAAAAACATCGATTACTATCTTTTACCCTTGACTACACGCAGACACCTACATGTGATCATCACACCAAAAATTCCCCCCCCCCCAAAAAAAATCCCTACCTACATGCACAGGTGTACACAAATGTACCCTATTTTCAAATGCCATGTATTTGGAAGCAAAACCATTTTTTATTTTGGCCTAATATTTTGGCAATTTTTATAAATAGGGGATTCAAACTGAGCCTCTATTCAAAGTTTTCCCCAGCTGCTAGACTGTTTCTGAAACATCTCTTCGTACCCATGTCGATGTAAAATTCTTTTCCGTACCACTGCACATGTATTTTTATTTTATTTATCGGTGAACAAGCACAATTTACAAGTACATGTATTGCAGTGAATATCAAGGTCAACACACTCTGGTCGTAATATGTGCATACATGTACAGCACATGTACACGCACATGAACAAAACCATTTCCACGATGTACATGTACATACATGTATGTCTATAAATTTAGCACCGTTTGCACTTACAGCATACATGTAGTAGACTTATATTTGTATACCATTAATTAATTATTTTTACAATATCCAAATTCCTGGATATAGTATGAGTTTACTTTTAATTATATTTAGAGAAAAAAAATCCCTCTCTAAGAATTTTTGTAATGATAATGCTTGAATTGATCTTGATTAGGATCCGCGTTTCTGTCTTCAAAATTATGTATTTGGATATACATTGTGTAACTCAAAGTTCTGTGGGATCTTCTGTGTGATATTTGTAAAGACAGCCTGTAGACTACACACGGAAATACCATGTACCGGTAGCAACATAAAATACACTCCTCATAGACGATACTGAAACACAGATAATTATATGCATTTGTCGCTGTGCAACGTGGCTAAGGTCTCGACCTTTATACATTTTGCCCCAGCTCATTCATATGCAAATCAACACGGTTGCCATGGATTGAGGTCAGGGTTTGGAAATGAACCACCTAAGTGACGTGTACATGTACATGGATGTACAAGTTGAATTGGCCTATTCAGCACTACTGCACTATCTTGTGCAGTGCATGTGCATGGTTGGGTTATTTCTTTAAAAAAAAACAGTGCTGGAAATCTCCAATTCACTGCATGAAACTAAAATTCAAATGCATGTGATACACGTATGTAGGGTCCTCCGTAACTGCCTGTGTTATCTCTGCAAACACTGCCATTATTAAACGGTTGATTTTATTTTAATACTTTTTTTTTTAAAAGTGGATTAAGAAAAAAAAGTAAAATTGAAGTATGATTCCCGCCTTTATCTCGACCTATTTAAACTCATTTTTTTTTAGACCTACATCATATTTGTGGCGATATATCGTCCAGCGCTACATGCAATGTTTGAATTGAGAATTTTGATTTGAGAAATTTTTAGCCGTCCTGTTACATGTACACCTTCTGAGAGGAAGCCTATATTTTCACAAAGTTGTTTTGATTAATCAAATTAAAAAATATAACCGAATAAGCGACACTTTGGTCGATTACTGGAGTGACTGAATAATACTTGCAGTCTTGCAGCCCTATAATTAATCTCTCTAAATAAATGAGTTAATCGACTCCCAGGGTTTAGACTTTTGTATTTGGATGCAATAAAGCCGAATAAAAAAAATATATGTTTCTCGTCCGGGTTTTTGAAAAAAAAGGAGGAAGAGGGGCTCTTTATTTTTTATTTTTTATTTTTTTCAAGATGGCCGCCCTTTTAAAATTTCCTGCAATCGTTGGTGTTTCCACTGTTCAAAGACACTTTTAAAATGAAAGACAAGTTAGACAAGAGAACTGAACATATTTGCAGTGTCATTTCGAGTTGTATTGGTCTACAATGAACAGTTTTAAATGCATTTGCTTTAACCGCCAAATTTGTGGACTTTTTCGGTGTTTTTTTTTACTGCATTTTTCAACAATAAAAAATAATTTAAAAAATCCAGGTGGCCTCCAAAAAGGAAGCGTGCGGGGACGAGAAACGTGTTTCTTTTTTACCTCGCCTAATCAAAGAAAAGTATTTTGTCGAAGCACAGATTTCCAACCACATTTGTACTATCCCAAATGTTAATGCTTTTGTGTACTGTTTGCAAGTATGCCCTAAAATTAATAATGTACTGTCTCATTTTAAAAAATGTCGTCAATTAACCCTTACTCTCTGAGGGTAGTTTACTGCATGTCAGTTGGTTATGCCAATGCCCTCCAGCTGCAGTTTATTGGCAGATAGTTTGTCTTAACAGTGAAGGCTCCAATTGGCAGGAGTTGGAGGCCCTGGAGGATGCCTGATACTGACCAGCTGGGGGCACTCACTTTGTTATCAGAGGACTCTCATTGTTCTCTGTGGCATGTATTGGAGTGCCTGTCCAGTTACCCTTGAAATGACATGGCAGATATTGGAGGGCGGTGCAAAAAACATATGCCATTTTCTTAAGGCACATAATGGCATGCGTTGGAGGGTCCAGTTGGGTAAGGGTTAATTTAGGAGAGTTGGGGGGCACTTTTGAGAGAGAATTTTATCTTACTGTCGATCCACTTTCCCTCATAAAAATTGCAAGAATTTGTCACTCTGTCCTCTAAATAGAAACAAACAAGCATTGATTTATACTTTGAGGAAAATATCAAACTACATGTAACACATACAATTGCTGTTGATATTTTAATCAAATTTGCTAAAATATATCAAAATCTATTTCATTTTTATTTTTGGAAAGAATTGCACAATTTTTAGAGTTTGTTTCACAAAATCTTTCAGAAAATCTATTTTTAACAGACTGCATAAAAATATGTTTGTAGGACTGCTCACTAGACTTAAGAGAAACTTGTCATATGGATGGAAGAAAAATTCATGTGCTTAATATCAGTAGTTGATTACCCTTGACATTGATACAGGAACCGATATGTACATGTAGTGCAGCACACGCAACACTGTTTATTGAACTTGACTACCCCTACTCCTAATAAATACAACACAAGCTCAAGCATTATACACATGCACAATACCAAGGTGACCCTTGACCTCAGCACTGTATCATGTAGTGCATGTGTATGCATTGTATGCTACATGTGTATTAATGGACTATGCAATGTAATGCGTGTTTTTTTTAAACCATAGATTTAGTGGACTTGGCTTAATCATGAAGATCTATCACACAAGAACACTGCATAAAGTTGGGACCCCATAAAATAAAATGATATGCCAAAAATTTTCTTCCTCAGAAGCTGAAAACAAAATAACACGTTCCGCTCAGAATGATCTGTTTCTGTACACTGCAGGACTTAGTCAAAAATAATGTTTGGAGACATCCAAACAGATCTGAAAATGCCAATGATATTATTTAAAAACACAAGAACATTTATTTGATGTTCTTCTTTCATATTTGACTGTCCAAATCAATTTTTATTATATAATTTATTATTATGAGTCTATATTATTATTCATTTTTAGGGACTGATATTTCATGAAGCACCCCCCCCCTTAATTGTTTTTTTTAAATTATAATTAGACAGGGTCAAAAACCATTTACTGAAGGGGCAGAGATATAGATGGGGTCAAAATGTCTCAGCTGGTAAAGAATCATCCCTCCCCCCCCCCCCCCACACCAACAAAAAATGCAAGCAAGTGTTGAAAAGAATGCTGTTTTTTTTTCAATATACTGCATTTTTTGGAATTCAATTACCAAATGAAATCAGTTGATTTCATTTAGAGAATACAGCATTCCACAATTGGCAGTACAATATATTGGAAATATCAATCAGAGTCTTTTTTAAAGTTACAGAGTAGGGTTAAATATTTTGTAAAAAAAATCTTTAACATAAAAAAAATTAAACAAATGTTGTCACCACAACAAAATTAAACTGAACATGATATGCATCAAAATCATCCAAGGATATTTATTCGACAAATTACGTTCCAATGTACGAACACGATAAAGCAGCAATTTTGTACAAAGTGTATCAACTATTATCAAGTGCAACATTCAAGAAAACCTGACAATGACATTACATGTATGTGCATTTTCTACAGTCAAACATTAGTGTTCAGTTTCAATAATTGGTAATTTTAATTTACATTTTTTTTGATGACATTTTCTTGTTTAAGAGACGTACTCTTCAGTCAAGATCAGAATGATTTACGTAAGGAAAAAAAGTCAAAGTTTAAACTACATTCAACTTCAACTTGTCACTAACATGACTAAGGACATACTTAATGTATCCCAGCTGATGATTCCACTAAGGTATGATTCAATACTTTAAATGCTCTTAAAAAGAATTATTAGTTGGGCCCTACCCGCTTTTCGGTCTCAGTCTCAGACAAGTCGGAATTGTTTACGATGAAAATCTACATTTTCAACAATTCTTTTCAAATTCAATTATCTACTGAGTAGTTTTGAGAACACATTAAACTAGTTGAGTGGGTGTGGTACTTTTAAATGGTGGATCATTGAACACATACTCAAAATATGCACTACACACGACCTCATGTCAGGGTGCATAATGCAGCCAGCCGCATGTAAACGTCTGCTTTGGAGTTAATTTTAGACGGTCCAGCACTTTTTTCGCCTCAAAAACACACATTTTGAAACAGCATATTGACATAGTTTGCTCATAACCAAATCTTAAAATATCATGAAATATTTACATTACCATATTCTGTGCTTCTTGCAAGTGAAAACAGCAATTTTCTTGTGAAAACTTTCTATAAATCCATCAAAACCCGCAACTTTGCCTTTCTCCATTTTACAACTAGGGAAGCACAGAGCATGCTCAGAAAAACTGTTTGTTCGACGATATCTTGGCTTACTCCAATAAGTACAACATAAATGCATGCAGTATGTTTCACTCAATGGAAAACTGCCATAAGGTATGCGTTCATCTCTTCAAGGCAGGTATGTCAGCTTCAATCAAATTATTTTCTTCAGATGCAGCTTGAAAAGTTCCATTGAGTACAAACATAAAAATGCATCATTTAAATACAAAGATTTTGTCTCAGTTTTTAAGCGATCTCTGCCCGGGAAAAGCCGCTAGCAATTATACCTATTGGTCTGTACCAATATAGTCCACTGCACGTGCGCTATTATGTAATAATCTCTAGTGTCATTAGTCCGTATTTAATTCCAACTTATTGTGTGATTCAAGTCAATCCTTTTTTTAACAAGAAATAGATCATGATGGAAAAGAAAGATAATTAGGGAAAACGAATCCAAAGTTATCAGCGTCCAAACAAAAGAATTTCGTACATCAAATAAAATTATCATATCGGCCAGTTCGAAATGGTGAAATTCGCTGCTCAAACATTCTGATTTTGTAAACTGTGAACGAATGACCTAAAAAGATCAATAGATCGTTTGTATTAAACGTGGCTTGAGCAGCCTAATCAATTATTAATTGCAAGATTTATTCAGGGTTATTCCGTCCAGAGTCTACACACAAAAGAAACACCGGACGAGTGCTTTCCTCGAAGTGCCAACGGGGGCATCTGGACCAGAGCACGGCACGTGGCCTGCGCGTGTCCGCTAGATGAAAATACTCCCCGGATTAGGTACTCATTGCCCTATCTCTCTTCTGCCTTTTCGACATTAAAGACCAAAACCTTCAAGACCTCTTTTCTTTAATTGTTTTTCGACCCTATTTAGCTTTGATTGAAATTGTGATGGCGTTCTACTGGCAGACACTGCGGGAAAGAAGTTTAGCTCAAAGCCATTTGCGAAATTTGCATTTTTATACGATCGCACCATAAGGTTTGCATAAACATCAGGTCGCAAAAACATTTTAAAAAATAAGTAGTTCAGGTTGTCATCATGTGTTTCGTGCTGTCCCTTGATGATGACTACAGAGGCTGCCCGTCAAGATTGCGCCGTAAGGGGGCCTCTGAAACTGGCTTCCGATCCAAATGTGTCTCGTTGATTCTGCGATCAGAGGAAAAGCAAAAGGAGCAAAAGAAAGAACAAGGAATCAGATCGTGAGAGATGTTTGAGATAAACTGACTGAGCAGAGAGTGCAACAAATACATTTTGTGAAGGTCGTAACCCTTGGTCCACAAAGAAAATTGCAAGAAAATGTGCTATTGGACCTCCATATTTTCCATTTACAACAAAAGGTCCGTATCTCAGTGCATTTGCTTTAACACTAACTAATCGCCATTGAAAGTACTTTAATGAGATTATTTTAAGCGATATTTACGTCATCAAATTACGGTCAAATTTCAATTTTAAACATGCATTTTTCACTATTTATTCCATCTAAAAATATATCTTCTCAAAACTTAACGTAATATTGGCTTCGTTCGAAAATTATTAGAATTTATTCAACGCAAGGCTATGCGTGGCTTAACCAATTATGATAAACAATATTATTGAGACTTAATTCTGAAAAGAATGTTACACTGCATGAAATTATGAACCATAAAACTAAATAAATTCTTTTAACGTGGACAAAGAATGCGCCGTTCCATCGGGTTTGCTCTTAACAAATCAGCAGCTCAATTTCCAGTAGTTTAGGGGTCTATCTTGCTGGTAAAGGTACACCTCTTTAAATAGCAATTTTACCTGTTTGCATGAGGCAGTCATCACGTCTTTCCGAGAATTCTACGAGGCGGAGACGACTCCCGGAGAAGCCACATGAATACGGATGCTTCTTGCTGCTTTTGTCCGGCCACTTGAAGTCTAAAAGATAGTCAGAATTACTGCGATTCTCTTGCATATCTGACGCCATTACTGTTCTGCACGGCAGTGTTTCTGGGCGAAATTTGAGTGAATGGAGACTAGAGTCCGTATTGGCTCGTCACTTCCCCCAGTTGGTGGCTGGTTCCGTGGGGAGGTTTCCGCGTCGACCGGTCCGTGTTGCGCTGACAAAACAAACCGCTCAGCTGAATAAATTACCCGTGAACTTCACACAGAGGAAACCCGCGTTTGGATTTAGGAAAATATGTATCCTACAACGATTTACGGATACCACATTTTTCTCAGGGTTTGGAGAAGAATCCTAGATTAAGCAGATGGATTAATTAACGTCAAATGGCAAGGAATTGGTAGACAAATTTGCAGAAATTTTGGAGGCTGTTTGGAGGAAATGCAACCATCACAATGGATGTCCTCGCCGCGCTGGGCCGTTTCACACCGCCTACTGACGCTTCAAGTTCTTTGTTCGCTTGGATGGTGTCGCAGGTCACAGTGAAGTCCATAAAGCAGAGCACAATATGGCGAAATGTTCAATTTTGCCAGCAAAATAAGATGCGATGCCCCGTTAAGGCTTAAACCAAATTTGCGGTTCAGTTTGATCGGACAAAATCCGAAATTTGTTTAACGGCCATGATGGACTCAGCTCAACGGGCGTTGTCTCTCGGTCGTGATGACGTTGCACGTTGGTACAATGCCTTGCACGCATGCTCAGAACCATATCGGCGCCAATTGCAGCAATAACATAATTTATATGCCTTGTCGTAATTTTTTTCCCATAATCTAATTTGAATATGAATTGCACGCTGAGGTAGTATGCTTACATGTAAGCGCCGCGCTCTGTTAAAAAACTAGTGTACAAACGGACGATAAATGACTCAATTTGGTATCCGAATGCCTACTTTTACGGTTTTGAACCGACAGGAAATGTCAATAATTATTTTTAAGCAATTGTAAAAGCCAGATCAACAACAGTTTGTAAAATAAAAGTGTTCATAAATAATAGAAGTGCAAGGTCAAGGGTCACTTGACAAATATAAAAAGGAAAGAAAACAAACTACAACAAGGGAGATGATGGGTTACTATTTTGGTGGATGGAAATACGTAGGTCTATTGATCGTCACTGTGGCGTGTGATTATTGGTATTGGGTCTGGCTGTGCCGCCATTTTGGATAAGCAATCGGGGACATTTATAGCGCTCAGTTGAATGAGATGTATGTGAAACGCTTGGGAGAGGCTTTGGATCTGTTGGCCTTGTCTTGTATAAATGGCTGGTTAAAGAAATATTGCTCAGTTGGTTTTGGGCATACCAATTTTGGTTTTCAAGTTTGCTTGAAAAAAAAGCGGCTGTGGAGCAGCTTAGGCTTAATGTTCTTGTATCAAAATTCTTTTGAAGAGTCGGCAGGTCTTCGTTTTCATCAGAAGATAGAAATGAGGTAAGAAAGGAGGAGGGTTTTCTTGGGAGACGTGGGATTGCGAAATATTTTTGTTTCGGAATTCCCGTTGGAAAGTACCGTGGAAATTCCGATCCTCGCGCGATTGCGAAATTTGACGGAACTACTTTTCCGTCGTGACGGGTGTTTCGACAGCATATATATAGCACGGGCGAACTTTCCAGAAGGTGACGACAGTTGTTAAAAATAAAATGGACCTGGGGAAATTTTGGGGTTTCGCAACACCGATGAGAAATCTAGAGTAGCTCTTGGAGTTTCAAAGAGCAGATCGATTCATATGCAAATAAGATCAGACAATAGTGTTATTCGGTACCATTTGGTATCTTTTTTTTTTTGGTCGGTTCTTTTTTATGATGTGAGCTATATAACTTTTAGAATTGGGGCCTGTGTTTGTAGTAAACAAGGTTGGTCAAAGTGGGGTGTGCAAACAAAATGGAAGACTGATGACCCAGATGAGAAATTCTCATTTTAGGCAGGAAACGCCGAAACTAAAATAACAATTTATTTTTGCCCAATCATGGAAATGAATTCATATATTGGTACGTATATAAAACTGTGGTTGAAGTTAATCAATTATAACAGTTGAAATATTAAGAGGGGGAAAACCAGTTTGATTAAAATCAACCCATTTCAACATAAATTCCCTCCCAGATTGTTTCGCAACAGAGAGTGGGATTCCCAGTCGGAACTACTTTTCTATTATTGGCGGCAATCGATAAAATTATGAGAAGTTGTGACCAAATAAGGAGACGCGTCCCACCCGTATTTCTCATCTCGGGGATTTCCAACGGGGAAAAATTGTGCAATAACTCTTTCAAAATATTTCTGGTTTGAAGCAGATAAAGTGAAATGATTTATTAATTTCTGACCATCTGAATACCCTTTTTTTTTTTTAAAGTTGTTCTGTCCGAATTATTTCTTCTTTTGTTTTGTTTTCGAAAGATAAGCTACACGTGTGTGTTAAACAAGGTACAAAGACAGAGGGATTTTTTTTAAATCCTTCCAAAAAGGGTTAACGGGTGACCAGATCAAAAATATTATATTGCACATATTGCAACACAGGTCTGTCCAACGGCAGCGAAATTCTGCAGATAGAAAAAAATCGACAAAGTCTGTTCAGCCCATAAAGGCTCAACATCAGCCCATATTAAGGCTCAACATTTTACGCAGTATAAACAAAATATATAACATTTTTTTTCCAGAAAATTTTATTGGCCTTTGAGATATACCAGAGTGGTTAAAAATTTACTGCAGACATAACTTAGTAAGAACATTAGGCCCAAAACAAGACAGTACTTATTTAAAACGTCAATGGTAAATAAAGCAGATTGATGAGGACAATCTAGGTTTACAATTTATCATGGTAATCAGGGTAAATCAATTAATCAGCATTAATCAGACTGAATATAAATGAGCCAGTCCCTAATAAATAAAATAAAGAGAACATGGACGACAGGAAAAATAGAGGCCACTGAAATTTCTGTTGGATACAGACGTTTGTCGTCTTTGCCTACAGCTCAGTGTCTTTCATGAGGTCCACGAGACATCGTAAGGCAAGTAACAGTTTTATAGCAAAGCCAACGCGTAAACTTTATAAATAATGATTGTAAATAGAAAAACAATAATTATCTAAATTGGAACTATCTTTAGTCAACATGAAGCTCAATAATCGCTTGGATTCGTAGTATTCCACTGAGGGCGCTAATAGCATACAATGGTCCTTGACCTCGACCACGATAATACATCACTGAAGGACGAAAAAACTGTTCAGGTAAAAATTATGAAAGAGGAAGAATATAGAATATAAAATCCGTAAAATCAATTAATTTTCTTCAGCTGGGGAATTATGCACAGACGGATATAACAGAACTACCAACAGAAACAGAGAAAAAAAATATACTTTGTGGCCAACGTAATAATGGTTTATGTATGCCTTGTTTAGGGCATCCTATTTCTTTGGACCTCATATTTTCTGACTGACCCTATTTTGGGCTCCCGACCCAAAAGAAACATCTTTTTATTACCGCCGACCCTGTCTGGGTTCCTATTCACACACAAAAAAGGTTCACAAATGAAAAGAAATGCATAATTAGTCCAGGCAATCAGCTCTGTGTTATTTGAAAAGCTTTTGAAGACGAATACCACACTTTAACGCTGATTACGGGGCATGGCAACCAGTGAAGATGACAGGATGTTGCCTCGGCCTCCCATCCTGTGTCTATAGCATACCTTTACTGTTACGTCACGGCTGCCACTACAGCCGAAACGTTAGTGAGCTGCTTGGTACATATATATTGCAAGTCAATGACATCTTGAAAAAATAAAATGGTTTTATTTTATTCAGTGATATCAACTCATGATAACATCATTGCAAAAAAAAAAAATCGAGAGACAAAACGCATTTGCCATAATTTAACTTACCCATCTATACGGGTGCAACTGTTTTTTTTCTTTAGACTTGAAAAAAAAAAGATCGATGAGAACCGTGGAAATAAAAAGATCGCTTTCCGGCCTCAGAATTGAATGAAGCCTGCTTCGTTTAAATGGAATTTAAAAGGCAGTGATAAAGCAGTTTACGTACGACGTGATGATAATTTGTTAAGAAGTACCACTCGCTTAGAATCATACTTGTTTTAAAGATGAAATGTTGTCAAGTTGAAACGGTGTCAGACTCAGACACCCCGATCTGACGTGACACGGTGATTCTATAAGGGAAGTCAAAATGAAAAACAAAATCCTTTCGTTTTCTACATGATTGTTTCCGCAGTTGTTTAAGAAACTTTAAATCCCACAGCTGCTCAAGAATTTTCAGGTTTAAAACTGTTCTCAAAGTTTGGTTCCATTCAGGAGTAAAACACCGTGACATTGACAGTCTTTATGACAGAATATCCTGTTGGTTGCACTACGGTTCATCACTCACGGTCGCGTTGAAAGGCGCCCTCTATCAGACGTGCCTGTCAACTTGAACTTCAACACCTGTTGCACTTTACTCACATGCTCTGATGCTCCGACTATGGCGTTCTGATTAGGATTCTTGGACATAAATACACGAATATCGTTTAATTATTGTCTCTCTCTAGCAGTTAACAATGTTTCGCACAATTTGTACATTTGCGAGATTTGTTCGCATTCCCACGTCCACTTTATTAAGGCAGGGTGGTGTAAAATGCTGGTCTATAGGGGGCGCTAGCTCATTCACGAGGGGGTTTTGCGACAAGAATCACGGAGGAATTCCTCCATGCAAGAATCAAGGACAAGGTACGGTGCGTGCCAGAAACGTTTTCTTGTTTACGAAAATGATTTTTTCCCGAGGTTTTGGACCTTTTATACCTTTCAGATATGAATTATATTCAGTTTTTTTTATGGGCACTTTACCGAAAGTTTCCTTTTTCTTTTTGGGGGGGGGGGGGGGGGGGGGGGGAGTTGAGGGATATGGGGGGGGGGGGAATAGACTGCTAGAGGACCAGCTTTCCCCTGAGAAACTGAAACCTCTCAATCTTATTCTTATCTCGTTCTTTTTTCTTACAGCTAAAATGGTGGAAGTGCATGAAGGAGTGCGACCTTTGACCTGGCTTCTGGGCCAATGGGAGTCCATCGAAGCCAAAGGATCGTACCCCAACACAAACTCCTTCAACTACACAGAGACCCTGAAGGTCACTCACTTGGGACAGCCAGTTCTGAATTTCTAGTGAGTTAAGAGTTGGGGGTGTGTGTGTGGTGGGGGAGGGGGGGCATTTTTTTTGCTACGTATATATATAGCAATGCTCCATCTCTGAACTTTCAAAATTTCTACCATTCATGTTGATGTGGTCTTCATTCCCCCCCCCCCCCCACCCTCATATTTCTTTGGAAAGACATACTATATGCCACTGGAAAGGTCTTGGATAAACTTGTAATTATTTAAGTACAGATCTGACCATACAGTGCTCAGTTTTGGGACTGGGGGAAGGTCTCCAACCAGGATTTCGAACGCGTTGAAAGTCCAGAGATTATGAAGGGAGCTTGGCTATGTATGCAGGCACATTTATAGTTCGGGGGGGGGGGGGGGGTTGCTAAGATAAAATTCAGGGGATTGATGACATTCTTAATTGTTTTTTACATAATTATTAGAAAAACTTGGCTTAAATTTCTTTCTTAAATCCATTCGTATATCTTTGTTTTCAGCTCTGAGACTTGGCTGGAGGGCCTTCCATTTCACGATGAGACCGGCTTTATCAAAATGAAGCAGGGCACCAGCAGGGTGGCTTACATCTGTGCCCAGAATATCGGTGAGAACCCCCCCCCCCTTCCCTTGAATAAGCCCCTCCCCAACCCAACCCAAAGATAAAATTGTATGAGCCCTGTGCATGAACTGCAGAGATGATACTATGAGAACCAATGGACATATTGAGTGGGCATGGGCGTTGCAAGACCAATTCGAATGACAAGAAATTTGCCAATGGACTAGATTTGTTCAGGTCATTACCCATAGTTGGACACCATGTGACTATAATGGGGCATCTGAATATTTTCAGGGTTGGTTGAGATAGAGGAAGGGGAGTTGGATGGAACTTCCATTGAGTTCATCCCGGAGGAGCCCTCGGTCTTGAGAACAAGCTTTGGAACCAAGGCACTTGGTGCAACCGCAGTAAGCATGTTTTGTTATTTTCTCTCAAGCAGTTTTGGTAGGTGCATTCCTAGATCTGCTCAAAATCCATCACTGTGCCCATAAATATAATACTAGATTGGTTGAACAAGTCTTGCCTACTCTGTTTTTTTTTCTGGTTGCAGCTTAAAAGGACATTTCGTCTGGACTCAGAGGGCATTTTGGAGCAGATTGTCTACATGTCAACTTTTAAGGTGCCGATGACAAAGCACTTGCACGTCAAGTACAAGAAAAGGGACACCGCAAATTTGTAATCGCCATTTTTCAGAACACTGCCGAAGTTCTAAGTTAGACTGGATTTGATTCATCTTTTTGTCTTGAACCAAGACTATTGCCCTTGAGTGATTGCTCATGGGGCTTTTCCAAAACCTCATTTTTGGCCCAGATTTGACTTAAACTTTTCAGCCTCTTAGTTTTGGAACTTGAAGTGACGTGAAGTTTTTGAAGATTCATATGAAAAATCATTGAAATCAGTAATTTTCAATCAATGAAGTTAGGGGCAGTCTATCTTGATTTAATGTCTCTGTGCCTTTGCATTGCTTAATAAATATGTGATTTTTCCAAGGAGAATTTCAGAGTCGCTATTATGGCACTTTTGCCAAAGTTTGAGAATACCATGTAGGGTCATTCAATATACAAATGCTAGTCTGGCACCCTAGCCAACTCAGGTGAGCTCCCTTTAGCAATGAACCTGCAAGGCCCTCGTGGGTGGCTGTCCAATATGGCTTCAGTTTAAAATTCTCTGCAGAAACATTAGCAATACTACAGCTTTATTTGCAAAGTAGCTTATTCCAGAAAAATATCTATAATTATTTTGACCTTAAAAAATGAAAAGAAAAACAAATTGCATAATTTTGTTTTGTTTTAGCAACTACAAGAAGTGGTTTGATCTTGATCTTAATCAGTACTGAACCTAAAAATAAAAACACCTAACATTTCAACAGATAGAGGGTGGAGTATACAATCAAGCAACTGAATTGTGATTTTGGACCACCCAATTTAAGTGAATATTAAATGTGCATCCATTTTATCTTATGCAAATCGTTTACCCTTTGCACAAAAATGCTTTTAAAAAGCACTCCAATACTGAAATTGACATCGGAAGAAACTTGTATATTTTTGTGATTTGCTTTTACATAAATATTAAATATATTTTAAATTTGGACTTAATTTCATATTAGGCAGATTTTCTATGTGTGATGTATAAAAATGCTTGAATAACAGAATAATACTATCCAGCTTGAAATGTGATGTTCCCTTTGCCCATATTCCCCGAATTTGTTGTTCCCTTAGAGACCCTACCAATTGGGTCCTATTTGCACTTTCCGGACGTCACCTTTCCCATATAGATCTACCGCCTGGTGAGTGGTGAGCTCAAGGGAGCCCCTGCCAAATACTGAGTGGCCCGACCCGATGCCGGTACTTGCACCTTTATAAGGACCCTGTGCACTATTTGTGCGACAATTGGCGAGCCATTCCACTGAAGGCACTGTTGGCGTATCATGGTATCCAACCTCGACTTTCGTCGACCACGATCACAGATCATTGGAGGGAAAAAAATCAATGTTATGTAAATTAATCTAACTTAAAAAAAATATTACAAATTTTAACAAAAAACAATATTGGTTTTTACTACTGAAAAAAAAAAGCCGAGGAACGATATCGGCATAATTATCAACAGTAAAGTACACGAAAATAGGTTACTTTGTTTCCACAGCGATGGCGGTTTCTTCTGATTTTGACCCGCAAATTCAAAATGTACTCTATCGCGGCATCAGAAATTTCGCTCTTTTTTCGCGTTGCCGGTAGGCCTACACCCTCTCATGGTAATTTAGTTCATTGGTAATTGAACATGCTGAAAGGTATGAAATAAAAAGAATGAAAATGTCACGTCTAGCTGTTGGTAAATTTTAATAAATTTTATCTTGCAAATTAAAATATCCCCTCACTAGTCACCACGCGTCTGTCATATACCGTCTATCTTGGAACATTTATCTTTGAGCAATGGTGTCATTGGACGTTCAGTATCATGTTTCCTTTATTTCACAGCTGCGAAGAACGGTAATTCCACTGCGAAATTTAAAAAAAAATTGTACGGAATAAAAATAAGGACTCGCGTCCTGAAAAAAAAACATAGTACGGCATACTTCAATTATTGAATTTTGACTTTGGGAGGTTCACCATCCTGAAATGCAACAAAACTTCTCATTTTACAGAAACGAGCGGTCCGATTAATATATGTCATGCCTCCCTCCACGGTTATCCGATCGGGAAATGTGACAATTATTAAAGTACCGCGATAATGACGGCGTCCCGGCCGGTCCCGTCCTACCCCCCCCCCCTTACATCTCTTGCAGGCCGAGGTCACTGTCATCTGAGGGCGGGTCTTTATTGTTCCTCTTAAATTATAATTATGCATTATATATGAGGTATTTCAGTTTCGTTGTTAATGTATTTTTCCGGTGGCGCATTACGCAAGGTAGGTGAATAAACCACGTTGTTGGTTTCAGCACCAGTTGCCTGTCAACTTGAACTTCAAACACCTGTTTCAGCACTTATCATTTATCAGCACCTGCTGAATTAATGTACCTAGCTCTATGGGAATCCGAGACACAAATACACGAATTTCGTTTCGAATATAGTCTCTTCTCGGGCAGCAATTTCGCACAGGTTGCATATTTGCTCGACTCACATTTTCGTCCAAGGTAGAGTGGTGTAAAATGCTGGACTATAGAGGGCGCTAGCTCATTCGCCGGCACGGTACGGGTTTGGCGAAAACAAGAACCAAGCAAGGGCAAGGTGGGCGAGCTTATTCTAAACTTTGGCCTAACTTTCTCTGTCATGCAAATTTCATGCATAAGACGTGATGTATATTGTGTCGTAAAAATGGCCTATTTAAATTGAGGTTTATCACGGTATTATCAGTTGTGACTTTATCTTATTTTTATCATGTTTTGATTTCGTAAAATTTCAGTTCAGTTGAGGGTGTTTCACCTTTTGCAGGGGGGGGGGGGGGGTTAGGGATGAGAAACTAGAGGACTAGTGTCCCCCGGAGAAACTGAAACTCTCAATACTATTCTTATCTCTTTCTCTTATTTTTACAGCTAAAATGGTGGAAGTGCATGAAGGAGCGCAACCTTTGACCTGGCTTCTGGGCCAATGGGAGTCCATTGAAGCCAAAGGATCGTACCCCAACACAAACTCCTTCAACTACACAGAGACCCTGAAGGTCACTCACTTGGGACAGCCAGTTCTGAATTTCTAGTGAGTTGAGAAGGGTTAAATGGGGGGTGGGGTGGGGGGGGGTGGGGATAGGTTGTAGCATGGGAAATGTGGGTACCATTTCAACTTCAAATTTGAATTGTTATTCTGCCTTCTTTTCTGTTTTCGATATGACTTTTTGTAAGCTCCTACTTTCCTATAAACAAAAAAAAATTACTTATATTTCATATTTTAAACTACAAAAGTTATAATTTTGAATTAATGTACCTATTTTGTGAGTAGGTCACCATGGTGGGGGTTGCTAAGACAGAATTCAGGGGATTGAGGACATTCTTGTGTTTTACATTTTAAGAACAAACGTGGCTTCCATTTGTTTTAAAAATGTATTTATATTTTTTTATTTTCAGCTCCGAGACTTGGATGGGGGATGTTCCGAAACACATCGAGTCCGGCTTCATCAGAATGAAGCCAGGCTCCAGCAGGGTAGCTTACATCTGTGCCCAGAATATCGGTGAGAACATTCCCCCCCCCTTTCAATAAGCCCCACCCCCAACCCGATCCAATGAACAAAAACCCAATTGTATGAGCCTGTGCATGAACTGCAGAGAGTGCACGGTGAGAACAAATGGAGTGAGCCATTTGGGGGGGGGGGAGGTGTAGCACAAAGTCTGTTCTGCTCACCCAGCTGGACACTGATGGTCTAAGTGGACAATATTTGAAACTATTGGGCATTAGGTGGCACTATTTGCCAACACATATTTGTTGACAGCTAAACAATTCTGCCAAAAGGATGATTTTGCTGTCACAAATTGATAGTGGGACGTGTCACACCCCTTGACCAAATCTTGCCCCTCCCCAAACCATGCCTCTCCCCCAAACCCACATACGACTGTGCGCACTGGTGTTCACACATGGCATATGATGTGTACGTATTTATTTTAACAAATCTTCAAAACAAACTAAGATCTCAACTTGCCTCCAAAACCCCTCTCCCAATTTGCTCCCCCTTTTTACTATTGGATCTCAACTTACTCCAAGATTAAAAACAAAAGGCGAACAAATAAAGAAGAAATAGGTATAAAAGTGATATGGATGTCAGTTTGACCATTTGCAGTTTGACCATTCTTTACCGACAGAATCAATAACATTTTGCATATTTTTTAGGTATGGTTGAAATAGAGGAAGGGGAGCTGAATGGGACTTCAATCGAGTTCACTGAGCACTCAGTCTTGAGAACGAGTTTCGCGAAGGAAAACGGTGCAACCGGAGTAAGCGTTTTTATCTGAAAGCGTTTTTGCCCGACGCATTCTTGGATCCTCCAAAATCACACATTGTGCTGGGACCCAGTGGCACATCCGTTGTACCTGAAACAGAAAATAGATTGTTTGCACGGCAGCCATGTTTGAGGTGTGTGCTTTTGTTCAACAGGGATACGCATGAGTACACCGCTTGAGCATTCATTGCTGATGAATTGACAAAACACACCTCCAAGATGGCTGCTAAATGCAATCCATCTATTGGATATCAAGTCCATATAAATTGGAATGTCAATGAAAGAGGACATTATGTGGGGGAAACTAACAGGCTGTGTCCCAATGACGTGGCTACGGCTTGACATTACACACGAGTCTATGGGACCTGGCTGTAGCCGCTACCATAGACATGTACTGCACTTGTCTTGCCTACTTGGATTTTTTTTTTCTGATTGCAGCTTAAAAGGACTTTCCGTCTGGACTCGGAGGGCATTTTGGAGCAGATTGTCTACATGTCAACTTTGAAGGTGCCGATGACGAAGCACTTGTACGTCAAGTACAAGAAAAAGGAGGCCTAGAATTTGAAATCACCATTTGTGGGTTATAAAAAGAACTGCTAAACGACCAGACAAGTTGCCGAAGTCTTGTTTTGTTGTCAGCTTTGGCTTCAGACTTTAGCATCCTTACTTTGGGGAGTCTGGCTTCATGTTCTGCTACAATAATATCCAATCCTGTAAAATGAGGCCACAGTTTGAGATCACTACTGTTTGGTTTCACACTTACAAGTTATCTTATTGAAAATCTGGGATAATTTGTGCACAAGTTATCCGCAAATGACACATTGTATGAGGATTTAGTTGAAGGATTCTGAACAACTTCCCTAGAATCTCCCTGCGGTGAATTTGCCAGGATTGTTGACAGCCTGGTAACTTGATTGCCACTGATAGCTAATACTAGGTGGACCTGTGGGCTCTAAACACAAACAAGAGGGGCTACTTTATTTCCACTTGCGAGATGTATGTGGACTTGACACACCATGTGCGTGGCCTGGTTCGCATGCTTATTGCGCCAAGTAAGCATGACTAGATTTATTCTGAATATGCACAAACCAATAGCGTCTTCGCACCGAAGTTCTCCCTTTCTTACCGTTGAGGGGGTACTTGTGCACGGAGCCCATTGCAGATTTACTTTCCTGCAACTCGTTAAGTTGCTAAAAATGTACCCACTGAGTCAATACTTGAATAAGAAAAATTATGTGAACATGTATTCAGCGGCAAGCCAGCAAGCATTGTCCGAAGTTTGGCATTGACCCTAACCGCCCTGAATCCTCCAAAATCCTTTCTGCAAATTGGAGGATTTTGCAGGATTGAGGTTACATGGCAAAAGTGGGTTGCTGATTTCGGAGTACGCACTGTGTCAAGGTCTTGGGCCGGACCTTGTGTTGTTTATGCTCGGTCGTGCATAAATTTAGCCCTTGATTATACCTGACATCCTCCGCACTGCTCCAGGATGTCACTGCCTCTGCCTCAGCCTATTGACAGTCATAGCTGGAGGATTTTGCAGGATTCAGGCAGTGAGCACCCCTTCATGGACCATATTCAAGAAATAGCGGAGGAATTTGCAGGATTGAGGCTATATGCTATTTTTCCATGAGGCCAATTGGAGGATTTTGCAGGATTGAGGCTACATCCTAGCAAAAAGGCCTAGGGAGTTAGGGTTAAAGAATGAAAAACAGTATTGAAATACATTTCTTTTTGATGAAATTTCCATAGTGATTATAAAAGAAAGCATGCAAAAATGTATACTCAGGAAAATATATGTATGTTGATAATAAAAAGTCAAAACAAAACACAAATCATTGTTTTAATTGGCAAACAGCTTTTTTTGTTTTATTTACAATATTTGATCTTATACAGTACTGAGCCTAAATAAAGGAATAATTCCACAGAAATATGGAATTATCCCTTCTTCACTATGCTTCCATTCTTTTTTATGCGATCTAAAGTACAAAAAAATGCTTTTTAAAAAAGCAATCCCAAACTGAAATCCACATTGGAAGAAACTTCTATATTTTTATAACTATATGTTGCATAGATATTAGATATCTTTCAGTTTAATGTCATTTGGTTCCCTTTTGGTATAGGACACAGCCATTCAGCAGATCTTCTGTGTGACACATAAAACTGCTTCCGATTTTATCCAGCTTGAAGTGTGATGTGCTGTGTTGTTAAACTCGGTGTCTCAAATAGCATTTACATGTACCTTTAGTACCTCAATCCCTGTACTGTCGGGCATGCAACTGGGAATTGATAAAAAAAAATAATTCCAAAATGCACAAGACTTTGTACAGCATTTTCAATTTGTAATGGCATTCATGAGAAGTAAAAAACAAGGAAATTAGGGGATCCGAGGAAAAGTTGCATGCCCATGTACAAAGACCTACTTGCATCTCAACCTTGCCCTGCAGATGAAATTATTCACCCCTGCAGGGGCAATTATTCACCTGTTGCAAAGTGAACCCCACTTACTACCTGTCTTGACGCCCTTCTCTCAATGTTTATCTCTCTACGCCTTCTCAGAAGACTTTCTTGGTGCGGCTGTAGGCCATTGGGCTTCTCAGCATGGGCTCTTTGGCCTTGTAGACTTCATTGAAGTCCAGTCTGACCGCCAGGAGTCGCAGGCTGTCGTCAGAGTGACCGGTCAGCATCACTAAGAATCGCTGCACCATGTCCTGCACAAAAACAAAGACAAATACATTAAATATCTACCACAATGTTTTAATAACCATTAACACCTTTAGCACATTGTATTTATTTCCATACAAATCCATAAAAACCATGGTGTGCAGTTTTGGGCAGTACAGGAGTAGTAGGGAGGGCGGTTTGGGCATGTACAGGGACTATACTATGTATAGGTTTAAGAACAAATGTGGCTTTAAGGAATATCAAGGGCCAACGATGCGCATGTTTGAAGCTAGTCCAAAAATTTAGGGCTCTCGCAGAAAGAGTGTGTATTGAGAGCTCAAATACTGTTAACATTCCACACAAGAAAACAGTCTGCTACTTAAGTCCAACACTTCTTCGGTATTGCTCGTAGGAGAATCGCACAGAAGGAGAATCTGGTATCTACAAAAGTCGGTCACAAGTGCTTGCACAGGGGATGAACAATGTGAAATGAATGCTTTTGTCACGGTTCAGTTGAATCGCTAGTGACTTGACATGAGACCGGAGGACTTGTGATGGACTTGTGATGGATGTGATTACACCACTCGTGAGTGGTATTTTTTTTTCTTCACAAGTTAAATTTTGCTTTCACAGTACCTGGTAAGATTTCCTGAGGACTTTGAGCTGGGCTCGGCTGGTTGGGATGAACTCCCGAAGGAACTTGGCCTTCCGTCTCTTCTGCTCCTGCTCTGTCTGAGCCGTCACGCCCCACTCACCCTTTGGAGAGCATTAGAAATGACAAGAACATCATTAAGTCTTGGAATAGACCAGGAATTTAAATTAACACAAGTCGTGGGTTACTCCAAAGAGGGTGTAAGTAAAGTGAAATCATGAGTCAATGTGACCCATCAGGCTGACATTATAGCCGGTTTCAGTGGTATGAAAAGACCAAGAATATTTCTACTCCCCCTGGTAACATTTCAGCTAATGCCGGTACCCATCTATACTCCTGGGCGGAGAGAGGCAAGTGGGAGTAAAGTGACTTGCCCAAGGACATCACATGTGGTCAGAGGCTGGATCGAACCCCTGACTCTCGGATCTAAGCCATGAGCACCAACCACTAGGCCACACTCCCCCACACGATGGTTTATTGCGTCTGATTCCAGGAATGAACTCAAAATTTCAGTAGCACGAAAAGGGAAACCTCAACATCCACTTGAGTACATCATCGGGGAGGGCAACTACCACTACTTCTACTAGTAGCAGTTGCGAGGTGCTGGCACTTTCATAAAAAAAACGACCCCAAATGACTGTTTTTATGAGAAGAGTTTACCCCCTGTTCCAACCCCCTCAGGATACCCACTACCCACCTGTTCTGTCCTGTCTTGAACAGCCTGCTTGTCGGCCTCTCTCAGTCTCAGCTCCTCACAGCTGTCACTGTACAGAGACTCCTGCACTCCTTGGTACTGGATGATCAGGTCAAAGATAGTCCTCAGCTGAGTCAGTAAAGGCTGGTAAAGAAGTAGGGTTGGAGATCTTTAGGCATTTGTATCGTAAATGGGCTACAATCGGCTGCAGATTTAAAATTCGTGAGTGGGACATTGGAGGGTAGAACTAAGCAAGATATTTGGTTGTTTTACCCCTGTACATTCCTGAGGCCGTAATAATCAAGTGTACAAAATATGGAGAAGATCTGTGTACTTTAGAAATCACAGGAGTCATCGTAAATCAGGAAAGAATTTCTGCTATGAATTGACAGGACATTAATTATCATGTGCATGGATTTACCCTAATGTCAAGAAGTCTTCAATTCTTGGTGAACACAATCTTTAACAACGGGGTGGGAATGTACATGGGAAAAAGAGGACAAACAACTTGTGCTCTCAAAATTGGTCACGAGTCGCCATCTAACTGTTCAAACATGGAGTCTACAGCTAACTTCACCGAAAGCATAACCTTGTGATGGACAAATAACGCAATTGAAACTTGGGAGACGCTACCTGTGACTCCTCATTGAGCAGCGAGCCTTTGATGATGGCATCTAAGAAGACTTCATGGGCTGCAATGATGTGGTCCATGTCTTCTGCCTCCGTCACTTTCTTCCACAGTTCATCCCAGGAGCATGCCATCACCTTCGAAAGACCAAACAAACAAGTTGATTAACCACGATATCAGTATTCTGGCACTAATCTCATGAGCCATACCAAGTATCATACCATCTCAAGTATCCAACAGTGACTTAAGAAATATACAAATCTGTCAACAGAAAGACTGTCAATACAAAGTTGGGTAGCTCTGGTAGGCAACGAGGGCCCAAGGTTCCAGTCTGAAGTCAAATTTTCACATCAATAGAAATCATGACTTTGAAAGCAGAAAGTAACAATTTTTCTGACCTCAAAATTGATGTAGTACTGCATCTGGTTGACGAAGTGGACCATCTCGGCCGTCAGGATGTGGCATTGGTGGAGGATGGGCGCAAGCTCTGTTGTGAATATCAGCAAAAAAGACACGAGTCAGAGACGTGCACTCACTTGACTCTCTTATGAGCAGTCCAACAGTGCCCTCAACATTAACGCACACAGCCTATGCACAGTGACCCACCTGCGATCGATAGTTTGCAGCGACTGCCCCATTTTGTCCTGCAAGTCTTGAGCCAGTAAGTACTCCATTTAAACTCACTTGACTCTTGCGAGCAATCCAACAGCGCCCTCAACTATCAACGCACACAGCCTATGCACAGTGACCCACCTGCCATCGATTCCAGTTTGCGGGTACTACCCATTTTGTCCTGCAAGTCTTGAGCCAGCACATACTCCATTTAACCTCACTTGACTCTCGCGAGCAATCCAACAGCGCCCTCAACTATTCATGCACACAGCCTATGCACAGTGACTTACCTACGATCGATTCCACTTTGCGGCGACTGCCCAATTTGTCCTGCAAGTCTTGAGCCAGTAGGTACTCCATTTAAACTCACTCGACTCTTGCGAGCAATCCAACAGCGCCCTCAACTATCAACGCACACAGCCTATGCACAGTGACTTACCTGCGATGGATTCCAGTTTGCGGGTGCTGCCCATCTTGTCCCGCCAGACCTGGGCCAGCACGTACTCCATGCGCTTGGCCCGCCAGAGGAAGTTGAAGACGCGCAGGTACAGGATCTTGCACTGCGGGGTGAAGACCGTGCTGATGGGCCCGTCCACGTGGTAGTCCAGACTGAACACATCCCAGCCTGTGTCGCCTGGGGACAGCTGGACAGGTCAAAGGTTAAAGTTCATGACGGTTTGGTATTGAAACTTGAGTGAATATGAGTAATACCTAAATAAAAGATGGTAAAATTGGAAAGGAGTAATTCTACTGTTGTATATTTCTACACTTGTATCAATCTTTACAAAGTTATATCTATACATTTTGAAGATACAAAAAAATGCTCTATTTCACAAAAGAGTGATATTTTTCACACTTGCTTCAGTGCCCTCATAGTGAACAATGAAAGGGATTACATACTTATTACTGAACGAACATCAGTGTAAAAACCTGGTCTTCATCAGTAATCTATAATTAACTTTTTTTTTAGAAAATTGACAGTTTATGAATCTAAGCCACAAATTGTTTTAAATTTTGTTACCTCCAGAAGCCGTACATCCACTCTGTTGAGAATATCCACGTCATCATATTGTGCGTTGGTAGCGCGTACAGCGGTCTCCAACATACCTGTCAGATTGTGCAGGTAGAGTTGGTTGGCCGGCTTGGATAAGTCACTCCTGTATGATACAAACATTCAAAAATAAAGTCATTTCATGACATTTTCTTAAACAAAAAAACCCACATTTTTTAGAAGTCTGTAAATACCACATATGAAATTTTAACATTCTAATGATTGAAATTTCTAAACGTTTTTTTTATATTTCTTGGGGGTGTTTCAATTCCTACCAATGGAAAATTCAAAAGTTTTGAAAGCTACATTATTTTCAACTCCCTAATGGAAAAACCAAGCTTATTTAATCACAAATGAATAACTCAATAAACAAATAGAAAAATATCCACAATTGAAAATTCCATTTTTGGGGGCGTTTCGGGGAAATTGAACTTACTCCAGTAAATCCATGAGATGCTGGATGAAATCTCCCTGACCCAACAGCAGGTACCTCCGCATTGCCTGATGAAATTAAAAGGAAAAAAGGGAAATATCAATGGAAATTAAAAGGATAAGGTAAAATGGAAATTAAGAGAAAGTTGATCAGAAAATGAAATAAATACAAAACAATTAAAAAAAAAATTAGCACAAGTAAATGTATAGGATGAAAATAAAAACAGGAAAAAAAATGGAAAAGGAAGCAATGAAAATTGAAATTGAAATGGAAATGAGACAGAAATGTAATCAGACATGAGGTGGAAATGGAAACAGAAAAGCAAGTGAAACGGAAACGGACATAAAAATGAAATGGAAATTGATGTCAAATGGAATATGAAAGCAATGTGGAAGGATTGAAAATTAAATTAGCAAATGAAACAAAATGAATAGAAAGTCTTAGTTGAATACCTTGAGGTGATCTAGGAACTTGTAGTCAGTGTAGAGCACATGTAGTAGCCTCTTACTGGTATCACGGTAGGCGGAGTCAATGACTTGCTGGAAGGACCCGTCAAGATCCTGCTCCAATAGCATCTCAGCTGAGCACACACAACACAACAACCAAATAGTCAGCATCATGTCCTTGGATATTTGATACAACTGTTATATGCAGGTTCAGTGAATAAGCATTCTCCAAGTATTTTACAGTTACTCTTTGGACAGGTGATGGCACAAAATTATATCACTGGTCACTACAGTGATTTTTTGGCCAAAAAGACTTTCAAAATTTCTCTGATTAGTTTATTGCAATTTGTCCCCATAGCATTTCAAAAACACAATTCGACCATCCAGAAACTTCTCTTCAAAATATGCACTTTTAAAATTGTTTTCTAAAATACTTTTTTTTCTACAGTGTTACAAGAAAATATTTATTGTCAGACTAGGTACATACTTACTGTCTTGATATTTATTTTTGGTCTCCAAATCGCTGTCACCTTTGACCTTAATGGGGCTGTTATCGTGGCAGACTTGATGAAGGAAATTGATGGACTTTCCAATTAGAAGAATCTGTTGAAACAGAAAAACGGCATTAAGTGGAAAGAAATCCATTCTGGCCAAAGAGGGGTACATTTTCCCCAATTCAAATGATAAATAGCTGGGTTGCGAACCCTCCGCAGGCTCGGTGGTCGAATGTTAAGATGTCTGCACTAGAAAGTAGAAATGGTTTGGAGTCCCACCGAAGTAAGCTGGTGAACTATTTCCTTGCAAGCCCTCAGACAACATTGAGTTTATAAAAATATATCAGTGAAGGGCAAACACAATACTGAATTTTCATCTCCCCAATGCAAATTTCATCTTGGCTGTTAGTGCTCACCTTCCTTGCCTGTTGCATGGTAATGAAGGATGGGATCATAGATTTCCGGAGGGAGTACTTGTCATGCCACAGTCGGTCTTCTTTTACCAGGGGGTCAGAGGCAACAAAGTACTAAGAGAATAACAAAATTTTTGATCAAAGTTTTCATCAAAGTTTCAAGTTCAACTTTCAGCAGGGTAGTCTTTAGGATCTAAATTCATGTCAAATTCTTGAGGAGGAAATGAGGCTTCAAATTCCACTTAGTTAAATCAAAAAATTTACAGAAGTTGATGTACGTATTCTTGGCTAAAGCACAATGGCTAGGGTGTACATACAAGTACAAAGAACTCATGTGAATGCGAATAAGAAGTGAATTTGACAACCAAAAAAAAAAAAACCATTCGCAGTAAAATTCATTGGAGTTGGAATGGGTTCAAGTCTTGCAACTTTACAGTGCAAAAAGTTGAGACGTCACAATTCCCATTGGATTTGCATTTGTGCCAATTGTGAACCAGCTTTTACACATTAAAAAAAAAATTCTTTGCACCTCATGAAACTTGTCGTCCAAGTTCCCGTCCTCAATCCAGCGATCCAGCATTGTCTTGATGGGGAAGGCTACCAGTTTCAAGATGTGCTTCATGACGCACTTGACCGACGGGTCGCCATGGAGCGTGTAGGAGTGCACAGCCGAGGCAAGGGCGCCCCCTTTCTTATCTGCAATGACGAGTTGGAAATCACATTCAGTTAGATTTGAATATCTTTCTGTTGATGTGTTTCTTAAACCAATTGGGTGCATGGTGACATTTTGTCCAGATTACTGAAGTAAGGGTATTTTTTTTATTGTAGTCTACAGAAAAACGTTGGTTGGCAAACCCGACAAAAAAACCCAGTCCAGAGCCCTCTTGTGGCATCTTTGGGCCATTCCTCCTTTTGCTCCATACACTCTAGAATGTAGTTAATTTCACTGGAATGTTTGAAGTGAGATGGCAAATTATGTATGCCAAGCACAGAAATCTGCTAAGTGCATAAAATATGTGCTTAGCAAAACAGGTAACCCGGCAAAATACAGTGCAAAGTATATTACGTGTGAATGGCTCCCATCGTATTTAAATTGTTCAAAAAATGTCTCCCATCTAACAACTCAATGAGATCACCCCAGATTTTGTTTACACTGGGAAGACGGTTTCACCTTTACAGCCGTCCACCAGTATGGCTAGGTACTTCATCCTGTGGATAGGGTCATAGGTCCAGACCTTTAACCTTATTAGGGTCAGGTCAGTGCTGGGGTCAACGACCCCTGGATCCTGCTCTTGCTGTTGTTGCTGAAAATAAAATTGAAAAAAAAAATAAAAAAAATAAAAAAAATAGAAAAAATAAAATTGAAAAAAAATAAATAAAAGAATACTCTGCTTCTGAAAATTTCAGAGTACTTCAAATGAGCAGCTTGCTGTCATGCATTGCAGGGGCACTTCAAATCCACCCTGATGAGCATGAATGGTGTGCAGCATCTACAAGATAAATCTTTAACTGGATGCTTACAAACCCACAACAACACAGAACAGTGGGACAGGATTAGCATTGTACATCTCTTGCTATTTTTGAGCTGGGTGCTTTTGATCCACAGGGATACACTTAAAGTGACTTCTGGTGCATTTATTATTACAATATTAATTTTACCTGTGCCTCTAGTACTGCCAGTAAACGATAGTACTCTGTTAGTTCCTGCTGCAAAGCTGCACAAAAACTCTGTGGAAATAAAGACACCAAATTAATAATAATAAAAAACTGAAAGACGTCTTCATCCCAAAACTCCAAATATATTTGTTTAATACTGCACTCAAATTAAGGGTTAACTTTATGGCTCTGCTGACAATGTATTTCTGTTCTTTTGATAACCATTCTGTGCTGACAGCCCATAGGTAACATTTTGGGTAAACACCAAATCTAAGTTCTTTTCCCAACCAGTGGATATTGCCTACCAGTTGCACATTATCTGTTATTTTTAGTGAAGATTCTCCACTCACAGTGAGGTTTGCCTTGAATTTGGCCCACGGTTTTATTTCAAGAACGTTGATTTGAAAAATATAAAAAAATCAGTTGGATTTTTGTCCCAAACCCTCCCAGACTGCTGAACACCTGCTGGGTTGAAGGATTTTGCAAAACTAAATAAAGATCAAGAAAAAGAAGGTGATCCATAAAGATTCCTACAATTTTGGAGAATTCTGGAATATTCCTGGCGATGTGTTTTTGGGGAAATTGGGTTTAAAGGTTAGTTTTCCTTACCTGTCCCACAATGCCCATGACGCTGTCTTGACTACGGGAATCCACGTACTTCCGTACTCTCAGGAACAGCCAGCCCAGCTCAGCCAGCTTGTGGACTAGATCCCTGGTGGGTTTGGAGACACCGGCCTGCAGACAAAGCAAGGACAAAATCCCCATAAACCCCAACATTTGAGATTAGATCCTGTTTTGAACTTGACATACCAGTAACAACATCTGGAGCTGCTAAGCACAAACATTTGATAAGCAGAGAAGTAGCTCTCAGCGGATTCGTACTAAGTACAGTTACGTGAATTAGCAAAGTTCTATTTTCTACAAAGAGGCCCAATGAAATAGCGGCAGTCCGAGTCACAGTTTGACATACCTGGTGGTCGATGCAGAACGCATCTTCTGCCGGATGGTATCTGATGTACTGGCCATCCACGCCTTGGAAGACGTAGATCAGATCCCTTACAAGGGAGGCCTCCGGAACTTCAGCAGCAGCTTAGGGAGAATTAATTCACAAAAGAGAAACATAAAAGCAAAACTTGGCGCAACGTTTGTTACAATCTTTTCTCTTATATTGTACTCTTCCATCACAAGTTCTGAGACAAAAATGCAACGCTGTAATAAATAAGAAAAGCACAGCAGATTTAAAAATACCAAATATAGTATTATGAAAAGTAAAAGTTACTGGGCTTTGTTAATTTGATATAGCCATGCTTTGACTGGATGTGATTGATATGCCAGCTGTACCTACCAGTTACCTCTTTTGTCTGTTGATGGAATTTGACTAGTCACAGTGTTTACACGAATTTGATCTGACTGTTTTTGACTAGTCTGTATACAAATGCATGGCAAGGGAAGTGGAAGAAATTTTGACTGTCTGTGAATGATCACACAATATGAGGGGGTTTTAAACTATCTGCTATGTTTTCCAATTTTTAAAGATGAAGTTCAAAATGAGGAATTCAGCTGATTGCAAATGGCGCTTCTTTATGCGAACACTTTTGAGGAACATCCAAAAATCATCTAAAAAACATTTGGTTAGTTTTAGGATTAGATTTCAGATTCAGGCTACTCACTGTTGTCAGTGGTATCTCCGGCACTCTGAGCAAATGTCACTGCCGGTGTTCGCCTTGCCTGCCCATAGGCTGGTGTAGCTCCATAGGTATGATGCTTTGTACTGTCGCCTATCAGCATGCGGGATAGACGGGTGCTGACTGGCTGCATGTCGCCTGCTGGGGTATACGCGTCACCCGGCATACTGAAGTTACTGAGTGGATAAGATATGATCAATGGCAACATCTCATAAACAAACAATTTCTACTTTAACTGTAATAATGATAATTCGTTTTATTAAAGCATACGTATCCATCAGTACTGGTGCTGAAGGCGTGGGACATCATTATTACCCCTGCTCATCAGGCCAATAAAACATTCCAAATACCATCTCAGCTCCCTGGGGAGTATACACCTCGATGCTGCCATTTCAGCACAAAGCAGCTAAACTCAACCACAATAACCATCTCTGCCCTCACAGGTACCCATTTACTCCTGGGTGGGGAGAAGCAATGAGTGACAAAGTGCCTTGCCCAAGGGCACACGCACCGCAAGCCTAGGCCGGATTTCAACCACAACCTTCAAAACAATCCACAGACCAAGTTCCAGAACCTGCTTGTTATTTTATTTTTTCTTCAAAGTTTGACCTACCTAGTTGATGACACTGTCTGCCCATGGCCAGATATACTACTCAAGGTACTTCCTGTCGTGAAAGAAAAAAAAAGAAACATCTTAAGCAAAGAAATCTGCTAAGTTTTTAGGATTTAATATTAAAAAAAACCCTGTTGTTTCATTTGACCATACCTACCAATTCCACTACTGTGCGATCGTTCATGCATCATGCTCAGAGTCTGTTCTTGGGGCAGGGGCTGGCGACTGCCTGGCCGGGGCTCAAACGGCGTCGAGGTCGCCATTCGGGGCAAGCCTTGGCCAAATATGGACGCTCCCTCAGCCATCTGATAGAAATAGTCATGTGATGTCGAACACAAAAAAAAAAAATAGTTTGAATTGGAATTTAATATTCATTTGCAGTGTACACAGGGGTAGTCAAGTATGTTTAGTTCCCAAAAAATCCCAAGAAATAAAACGTTGAAATATTTAAACAAAAAACAAAAAATGCAACAACAAAAATTGCTTTGTACATACCCTATGCCTAGCAGATTTCCTATCTTCACTGAGTGACATAAGAAGATACATGATGGCCCATCGATTCTTGAGTACAGTCTAAATAAAGAAACAAAATAACGTATAAAAAGTCAAAGAGATGAAAATAAAGAAACAAAATAATGTATAAAAAGTCAATGAGATGAGAAATCAAGTAAGAGCTTTTGTAATAGCTACAAATACATAACATTTTATAAATTTAGTTCTCTTTATGTTTTGTTTCTGCATTTTTTAAAATATATACAATTTTCATTGTAACTTTCTTTGTGTTCTTTTGTTAAATTTTGTTTATGACTGTGAAAAAAGTTCTAAAACTTGACAACATAGAAAATAAGACCGGGCTAGCGTAGTAAGCTGGTTCCAGAGTTTGCAAAATTCTGTTCATTCTATTCCACTGATTCAAAATGGCTATTCACTGGAAGTCTTTACATGTACCTTGTCTACACAGTGGACTGGATTTAACCAATTCATTGACATTACGATAGCACTGCCCAACTCACAAGGGGGAGTCAGTCAGTCAGTCCGTCGGGGAGTCAGTCAGTCAGTCAAGTAGGTGCAAAGAGGACACTGGGCCGGCCCACTGGGGCAAAAGTTTGAACTACATGTATAGACCTTTATCATGCTGCCACCATTTTAGTCATGTTCCCTGTATCCAATAATAGTACTGGATGATAATGTTTTTGTACAAAAAGGAACCAGACCATTTTTCCTTCTAGGGTCGCTTTGGTTACGTTGATATGAATGGGAAAAAAATCAAGATGGCCTCAACATGATAATGGTCTATTCTCCTTACTTGAGACTGTAATTTCCGGTAGAGTTCTGCAAACCTGGCAGCGTCCGACTCCCTGCCTTGTCTGGCCACTAAGACAAAATACAAACAAACGAAAAAAAATAACAACACAAATGCACTTTTTTTTCTTGTAATGAGTACCGGTAGTTGGTATCAACAGAAGTGACATCTATTAAAATATACATGTTGTTACAGCATTCCTGGTAACTGGATGTTCACATTCATATTAGGATTGCACTTTTTAGAATTACATGTATATTCAGGAAAAAACTACGGGAAAGGACATTGGAAAATGTGTCTGCTTACATTTTCGTTGGATCCGCTGCGACACTTGAAATTCATCTCCTTCAACAGAAGGTGTAAAATTGCTAGAAAAGAAAAAAAAATCATCATATTTTTACAACAAAAACAGTAAATTAAACAGTAACAGAAAACTCAGTAAATTAAACTTTAATCAAAGAGACCATTTTCTACCCACCTGCTGATTACTCTGAGAGCATACTGATACTGTGAAGTAACATCTGCATCTAAAACACGAGAAAAGTGGACACAAATTAAATTCGTATTAAAGCTTAATGTTTCTCATTAAATGCAAAAATACAAAACCAATTGCAACAACAGCAGAACAAGGACAAATCTATCTAATTTCTCACGTTTATCTAACTACCTGCACCAGCCCTGTGAACATCTATTTCAATTCAACAGCACAAGTATTCTTTTGCTGGGAGGGACATTCAAGCGCATGGCTGACGATGGCTGATGATGTCTGACGTACATGTGACAACGCTATGGGTCTCTACACATTCATTATAAAATCATGTGCGTACTTTGCACGGACTATACATGCATTAACCAGTACGCAAATGCAGAGTTCCCCCTCACATTGCGACAATCGGAAACTTGTGGCATCAAAGCGTCATTAATTGTTTATGTACCAGGTCCATAATCTGAATAGGTCAGTTGAGATGAGAGATGCACAAATATTGCCAATCTTTACCTTTGGGTTTAGCCAGCATATGCCTGACTAGCTGAAGCAGCAATGCCTGGGGGTCACTTGGGCCTGAGGCGCCAGATGCCATGGTGAAAAGCCGTGTCTAGCTTTCTCAAAATCAAGCTTTCATTTGGAAAATCTTTATCTGTATTCAGATGAATATGATAGTTAGAAACTCGAACTATGCAGACATAATAAGTTATGAAGAAAATGAAAACAAATTTGGGCCGAATCTTTGAGAATGCAGTGTTCGAATGTCACTTTGTTGATTGTGTACAAACTTTAATGTCATAAGGAGTCATAAGCATTTTCAAATAATTATTTAATAAAATATTTTTTTCTGGGAACCAGACTAGCTTCCCTACCATTAGCGGTGCCGCAATGCAGCAATGTAAGTGTGTCCATTCGTCTGCTCTTTACCGGAAAATCAGGTAAGAAAGTCGCATTTTGCTAAAAGCTGTGAAAACATGTACCTGTATAGACCTGTAAACATGGCGTCAATAACAACACCATGTTTCACATTCGCGTAAAAACACTCGAAATATATCCGCGACTTGTTATTTTTTGTGAATGGTAGGCTAAGTCATAAGTAGAAATATATCCGCGACTCGTCAGCTTGTTATTTTTTCGTGGATGGTAAGTATAAACTATAATATAAAAAATTAATTTGACGAAACGACCTAACTAAAAGCTTAACACCACGTTATAAAATCAATACAAAGTATTATATTCAACAAGCCATGAAAGTGTCGGAATTAGACGTCTTTCCATATGTTGCGCACAAAGGTAAACACTGAGGGATCAACACTAAACAGGGTAATGTACAAACAGACCAAAAAGTAAAACGAACTCTGAACTGAATTACTCCAAAGACAGAAATATTGTACCACACTTTTTCACTGTATAAATATTTAAAACAAAATATAGAAGGATACAGCTTGAATTCGGTAGAAATAATCACCAGCAATTTGTGCTCGACAAGCTCAATTCTCCCGCGCAGGGTCTATTTGTACGTACGTGTGTACGTACGTGTGCGCGCCCTCTCTCGTCGCACAACCTGCATGCACGGGTTACAGATCTAGAATTAAGGTCAAATCCTCCCCTTTACTGTTTATTCATTATTGTGCTAGGTCACGGGCCACTTATCATAATGCCGTGTGTACAAACAGCAACGTAGCGCTGGCCCCGTAACATGTACACGTATTTATACGATGAACGTGCCCTAGGATACTTACAGGAATTTTGCACGCACGACGAAGTGGTTGAAACTTCCTCATATTCCCGCAGATTTCAGGCGTAACATCGTTGTGAAATGGGGACATAGTGTAATCAAAGACTGGATATCAGCTGTATCGATCAAGATGTCTTCATTTCTCAGGAAGATCACAAATACGCTCGTAAGTATGACGGTTTTAAAATGGACAATGGGACTTTACTTGCGGTACTGGATTTCAACAAAAAATTGTATTGAAACTGCACAGTTGTCAGTACATGTACATGTACAATGTACATACATGTACACAGTAGCAGCTGTACAGCCTAACTTAGCCCCACTAGTGTGGCCGTCGGTATGCTGCGCTGAACCTCTGGCCACACACCGTGGTACCGCGCGCTACTGAGGACGAAGTTTCATAAAATCTGCGGTCCGTTTCTTACATTCTCAGTTTCTGACTTTCTTATGGTTGTATTCTATGATGTTTCACCTATCACTTCTGGGATGCTTAGGTCTAATGATGTTCCATTTTCCGAGATATTCTTCAATCTTTCTGGAGCCCATATGCACTCGTGAAACGTCTGGTGATGGCAGCCATTTTGAATGGGACAAGAGATGACCTCAAGCTGTGACGTCGCGTTTATGCAAATTGCTTGTCGAGCGCGCGAGGGCGCGACTTGCAAATGCGACGGCTGTTTCCTGTGCCGTAGATCCTGAATAGAGATCGGTGCACGTGGCCCCCTGACGATAAATGCATGGAACAGGAAACAGCCGTCGCATTTGCAACTCGCGCCCTCGCGCGCTCGACAAGCAATTTGCATAAACGCAACGTCACAGTTTGAGGTCATCTCTTGTCCCATTCAAAATGGCTGCCATCACCAGACGTTTCACGAGTGCATATGGGCTCCAGAAAGATTGAAGAATATCTCGGAAAATGGAACATCATTAGACCTAAGCATCCCAGAAGTGATAGGTGAAACATCATAGAATACAACCATAAGAAAGTCAGAAACTGAGAATGTAAGAAACGGACCGCAGATTTTATGAAACTTCGTCCTCAGTAGCGCGCGGTACCACGGTGTGTGGCCAGAGGTTCAGCGCAGCATACCGACGGCCACACTAGTGGGGCTAAGCCTAACTATACTGTACATTACAAGCCTACATGGTGACCCAAAAAAATGGAACCCTAAGGCCCCCCCCCCAAAAAAGTCTCCGGTTTCTGGTATGGAGCTTGCCCAAAAAGTGGTGCGGCGACGCGGCTTTTTTTTTATTTTACCTGTTTTTTTTGCTTCAAATGTCGGCTGATGACTGCAAATGGTGCCCGACTAAACCTAGTGCAAATATATGGGAGTCCAGAGAGGCCACATAAAGCTTATTCTCGATCATAACCCCATGTAAAAACACGTTAAAATTGTGCAGCAGCAGGATTCCAGTCAAACCAGTGAGTTTGGCGGTTTTGAGACATCATCTTTTATTGAAAAAAAACCTTTTTCATTTTGCCGACGCGCATGGCTACGGCGACGCACACGCATACCAGAAACCGGAGACTTTTTTTTTTGGCCTAAGGCCAAAAAAAAATAAATAAGTCGGTCTCTGGTCAGCGCGCGCGTCGATTTTAATCATGCGTGTCGATCTTTTTTTTTCCAAAATGTTCCGCGGTAGCTCCAACAGTGCCCTCTTATTTCCACACCTCAATTTTTTTACCAAAGAGCCAGAAAGCACCAAGGAATGGGAAATTGCACCAAGGCAAATGATCGAAAGCACCAAGGCAAATTATGGAGGACACCAATGTACATGAGGACACCAAAAAAGCAAAATAGTACCTACCTTGTCTGTTCAATCCAAGCTTGAAGAAAAAAAAAAAGCCGCCTGGACGCGTCAATTCCGGAACTTTTGGTCTGAGGGGGGGGGAGTGTGGGGGAAGAAAATGAATCACATCCTTCATTTTTTCCCAAAAAGACTGGATGAGAAAGAGAAACTGCTAGTAAGTAGTAGCCCCCCCCCCCCGTCAACTTTTTCCGCGATAGCCTTGAACATTTTTTTCGCGACCCGAGCTGTTATGACTTATGTTAGGCCTTTGATTTTGACTTTTTAGCCTCGAGCCTTGCACATCTATGATCTTTTGGTACCAAAAATATAAAAATCGGACCACGGGTTGCCGCGCAGCGAAGATTTTTCCAGCGCTATGCGCCGTGAAAACTGAACTTTCCCATATATGTCATGTACACAGAGCAGAATTGCCATTCGTATACATGAATAATTAATTAGCCATAATTCCAAACCCATTGACCTATAGTCATGAAATTTCTTAGGTATGTTCATGATGAGTTGCTCCATGCATGTACCGAGTTTCAAAATTTTTCGTCACTCGATGGCTGAGATCTGGGGGGGGGGGGGCAGAATCTTATTTCACCAACCAAGTTTGCAGACTTAATTCAATTTTTAAATGGGACATTCAATATTTTGCACATGAGAGTGAAATCAAGTGATTCCAAAATGAGGCTAAAGACTAGACTGGTACATGTCCAACCATGGTCCAACTATTTGAAAAGACTGACCTCTTCATTCAGTGTCATTAGTCCGGTAGCTGATTATGGACAAATGTGTAGAAATAGAGACTAGGTCTCAGTTCATGCCACATGTTTCTTTTGGTACAGTTGATTGATGCAGTTACTGACGCTGTGTTGGACTGGTTGTTTCAGGTGCTAGTCTATTTTCTTGTATTGCATGTTTTCAATACAAGTTTTGGGACTCTCATACACAGTATTGAGAGTCCCAAATTTTCGGACTAGTGTACCATAATGCTATAAATTATAGCTTTTACATAGCCCTTCAGATAACTTCCGGGATTTGAATTTTGGGGATGAGTTTACTGGTACCGTGTTTTAAATGTACTTTAATTCAGCTTTATCAATACCCGTCAATGCACACTTCGTATCATTGCACCCTACAAATCGACTTTTGTCTTCTTCAAAATTTGGATATGATTTGGCGATTGTAGCGTGATCATGCCCAAGTATTTAAATAAGGCAATGCGGATCTGTAGGGTCCAGAGTTACTTGCAAAAGTTGTTGATTGTTGCAGCGAAATGATTCACTCCCGGATTTCTTAATCAAATCACAAGCTCCGCCACGACTCATAACAACGCAATGCATCCATGTTCACGTATGCCATTGATAACTTTTGCAGCGAAATGATTCACTCCCGGATTTCTTAATCAAATCACAAGCTCCGCCACGACTCATAACAACGCAATGCATCCATGTTCACGTATGCCATTGATAACTTTTGCAGCGAAATGATTCACTCCCGGATTTCTTAATCAAATCACAAGCTCCGCCACGACTCATAACAACGCAATGCATCCATGTTCATGTATACCATTGATAACATTAATGTACATGTAGTCCTTCATACCTTCAAGGCTTCAACCTGGACTGTTTCTGGGTAGTATCCTTGCAGGAAACGGATGTAGATTGCTATCTTCACCTCACTTCCTTTCTTATAATGCATCATTCATGGAATGGCTACACAGCCATTGCTGGCTGCCAAACTGCTTGGAAAATCGCCAAGTAATGCAAGCTTCAATAGCATGACAAAACAATATGGACTCCCCAAATAAACAAAAGATGGCATCCTGAAAAATTGATTCCTTTTCTAAATTGCTATATTTCTAGCAATATAAAGGTTGTTCACTTTTGAATGAGACATCAACTGGACACCATCGTCCTATGTGTGTGATGTTCACACTAGACAATAGGTGAAGCTCTTCAAAGGGGCATGATTACATACATCGTGCGGCATAAACAAGGGCACTCGTGAAAAAAATATGGCGCTCATTAGGCAAGGGCAGTCATTTGAAAATATTGAGTTGCAAAATAGATTATTCGTTCCGTTACCCATTTTCACCATCCCGATTTTGCTTCAAACAACATCCTGATTTTTCTTTTACAATCTCTATCCTCTTGCACCGCCCCTGGTCACGCTACTGTGCTGGAGCGGTTGAGGGCAGTACAAGGAATAACAAACAGGGCACTTTGGGGCGGTACGGGGAGTAATGGGTTTACTTAAAAAATGGACGGCACATTTATTTGATTTACAAATTAATTTTTTTAAAATTGTTTTTAAGCTGTGCAAACGAGAGGACATTCCTGAAAACCGGACCATTTTTGTCAACCACAAGCACCCTCCGACCGACGATGTTTACTTCCAGCAAAAGTTTCCAGACAACAAAATCATCTCTTCAAAGGTGAGATAACATAAAAAAGTTTAATTGTAAAAACCGAAAAAATGTATAATTTAAAGTTGGCATTGTCATTGGGAAAATAACTGTTTTAATTTGGGAAATGTATCTTTTTCTATAGGCCTATATGGAATTTGGAGAGATACAGTAACACAATTAACCCAGACAAATTAACTACATTAAGTTACATTTTCAATTCTTTTTTTGGTTCATTTTCAGTACACAATCATCACTTTTCTACCAAAGAATCTCTTTGAGCAGTTCAGAAGAATCGCCAATTTCTATTTCCTTCTAGTTGCTGTCTTACAGGTGAGTAAAGTCATATTCTTGTTGTTTTTGTTTGTTTAAGAATATCAAATTATTTTCTATCATAATGTAGCGCTGTCCAAATCTGACATTCCACTACAAGCATTTTACACCAGACAAAGAACTGCAAGAAAAATCAATATTACACAAAGATTGCAGTTTGTTTTCAACAAAATAAAATTTCAGGACCAAATGCAATGTTTTTGTCAAATATGCAATATTTTTATTCCTTGGTGAATGTTTCAAATACTGTACAACACAGAATGAACTGTACTACCGAAACACTAAATTGTGTTATTTATATGCACGTACCAATAGATTATTTAATATTTGCAAGTTGAAGTTTTTATGTGCAAAAGGAAATTTCAAGACCAAATGCATTTTGTTCTGAGTATGCAAAGTCTTTAATGTTCGGTGAATGGAAAATGTTGTTTTAGTGTCCACACACATTGTGTAATGCTACATGTATATATTCAATCAGCATTTTTGTGATAAATGTTTATATGTTTTTTTTTAGTAAGCAGAATCATTTTACCAGCATCATACATACAGTGTAATCTGGTACCTTTTTAAGGCCCTAAACGTTGACCAAATGTTTTTATTTTTAAACCTCATATTTTTAATGCATAGCTACATGTACTTTCAACAAATTGTTGAAAAATCTTACTCACTGCAGCCATTGCACGCATTTCATTTTCTGGCCATTTCATTCCTTTACCGTCACTATTTTGTGTTTACATGTTACATACACACATTATACGTGTACATTGTCAATTCATTACATACGCGTATGTACATGTATCCTTGTGAGTTTTTTTCCTAGCCACAATTATTTTGTCCTCGATCATAAAAAAAATAATATTAACTTGCTTTTCTTTCAGCCCGAACCTCAGTTTATCTGTAGGCTGTACATGGGGCCCCTAATTGCACATATGACTTCTTTTGTCTATTGATTCCGTCTGGTACATTACGTACAGTGTTACGTCAGTGTACCGGGTACATGCTTGTACTTGTACATACTTTTAGGCTTGTATAATCAGATGTGTATTGTTTGTACATGTGCACACTCCACCCATGTTAGCTTAACATTGAGATTAAGTCAACATTCACCCATTAGGCCAGCAAGTTAAAGTTATTTTGTTCACTCATTTAATTGTTTCCTGAATTCAATCTATGCGTGCCCTGAGCTCTTAAAAAACATTTTTTTTCTTCTAAGGAATGTTCAATTTGTTTTGTGTTAACCCTCCTATTGTTTGATCAGCCACAGACAGTTTCCACTTCTTTTGCCATGCATTTGTACACAGACTAGTCAAAAACAGTCAGATCAGGTTCATGTTGTATGTAAACACTGTGACTAGTCAAATTCCATCAACAGACCAAAGAGTTAACTGGTAGGAACAGCTGGCATATCAATCACCTCCAGTTATTTGTTTAATAATAGCTTGTATTTTCTTTTCGGGGAGGGGGGGGGGGAGGGGGGGGAGACTGGAATAAAAAAACAATCAGTTTTTTTTATACTGTAGAAAGGTGGAAATGGATCTTTTAATTTGATTGTGTTATTTTTGTTATCATTGTCAGTGGACAAAGGAGCAAATGAAATACATGTATGTACACATGGACATGAAATTCACAGATTCATTTTGAATTTGTCATTTTTTTAATGATTTATGATTGAAAAAGGGTCTTTTTTTAACCCACTCTCAATTTTTCCAACCAAGGAAAGCTCATTCAGCATCATCCCTTGTAAAAATGTACACATTGTGTGTACATGAATGCCATCACAGCATATTAATTACATTGAACACATTGACGAGAACACATGCATGGGCCTATGCCTGTAACGCATACGCTGACCATGCTATTACAAAATCAATTTGCTAGAAATATCCTTAACGACTGTTGCTAGGCGGTCGTTATGCCCGTACACAGACTTTGAACTCTGCATGTGGTTCTTACCATGCTGAAATGGGTATTATTATAGGGAGGAATATTTGAAGGAAAGATTATAAATAGCCTTATCAAATATAGAGTAGGTGTTGATTTTTAGATAATATTGTTATCATGATAGAAAAAAAGTTGGGTCCTTTTCAGTTATTTTCTGATGTACGTATACACTATACGGGCGGTAATACATGCGTGATGTTTACAGTTACTTGTAGGCCAAGAAAGCAATACCTATGTTTCTGATTACCCTGCCCAACGTTGAAAATGTGCAGAACCTAAATCTTTTCCTTCGAAAATAAATATAAAACAAAAACATACGGTGCCACCCCCACTCTAGCTTAATTGCGAACATCGTCCAGCATTTTTGTTTCATTTTTTTGAAAGTTGGTCAGCAGTGTGGTCTTGCTGGCCAGGCACACTTTGCAGCGAAGCCTATGCACAGCTTAGCAAACACAGCACATTTTATGCAAAAGAATTATTTTTTTAAAATTTATTTAAAGCAAATTAATCGACCCTCATCCCCACCTCATTTTTTCTGGATACAAAAATTCTGATTTTACCCACCCTAATTTTTTCTTCTTTGTGAGCAGAGTAATTTAGGGAAAACACATTTAATTTTCAGAAGGCAAACTACATGTACATGTACTTGTACATGTATTAGGCCAAGTAAAAAAAAAACCAGTTTCTCGCCCCCATCTGCTTCCTTTTTCCTGGCCGCCTCCTTTCTTTTATATTGATTTTTTTATGTTCTTCCAGCAAAATTACATGTGTGCAAGTTTAGAATCCGTTAGAAGAGCATTACAGCTCATTTATACACAAAAGTATACAGCAAACGAAAGAATCAATCTTGGAAAATCCGCCATCTTGTAAAAAAAAGAAGTGCCTCCTCCCTTTTTCCAAAAAGGCCAAGACGAGAAACTGCTTTGTTTTTACTTGGCATTAAGCCATATTTTTTTGATAGTGGAAGGAGCAATGCCATTTTTTTTTCAATACAAAGCAAAATGATGCGCTTGTTTATGAATACGTGTACGGTATAGTATCCTGTTTAGTAAAACGTGACAGTTTAATTTTGCAAGTAGCCTACTTGTTACTAGGGTGTCATCGCTTCCATCTTTTCTCTAAATTATGTATCGTTCGGTAGCACCCCTATTCGTTTGTCCTTTAACACACATGAAAATTAAAAAAGACAAAAGCAACCGTAGGATGTCTAAGCATGCATGATTAAGTGGCTATTGTGTAGCTTCACAATATAGCACTGCCGCAGTACTAGACACGTAGCTGAGTTATTGTACAGATGGCGGTTACTTTAGTTGATTAATGCATACAGTCCATACATTATGCTCCATTGCCTACTATTGTTAACAGTGTGCATATATAGTGATACTTAGTAAAAAAGGCATGTACCACTATCTGTGCTGCCACGTTTGTTTATAGTGAAAGTCGAGGATTTTCTATCCTTCTTCTTCCCTTTTCCTTTGTATGAATACGCTAACTTTTTTGCAACAGCTCTCATTGGTTTTGTACACGTTTTCTAATCGAGATCGTCCTCGATTTGGTTCCTGTCCTCAATTCATCGATGATGTTGCACGTGTGTGTCCTCGATTTACACCATGAACCTACTCAAGTACATGTACATGTATCTTTTGCAAACTGTATTGCAGTCATTGTGGATTGTGATGCATGTTTGTAGATGGCTGGTGACATCATGGTTATATTTAGATTAGTATGTGCATGTAATATGTGATATGAGTAGGGCTATACATTTTTGAATAATTCAATATTTGATTGTTTGACCTTGGATTTGATCAAATATTCATGTACACCAGAAAAGTTTTACATGCGCAGGCCTAAACCGCATGCGCCAGTTGGAAATTAAACGTGCCAGTCAGGAAGTGCAGTTTCACGCCCTGGTTGAAATTGGCAAACAGATGGATTTTTCTTTTGTATTTATTTATCATTATCATTTATTTATCATACCGGGGTAGCCCCATCAGTTGTCTAAGAACTTATCCCTGGATTGGGAATTGCATTGCCCACTGATCGGGATTTGTGTAAACAGGCTTCAAACTTCTACAATTAAAATGACATCATGGGCATTTTTCCTCATCTGGAGTGCGTGTCTCTATGGAGCAAATTGAATTCGTGGTCTGCGGGTAATTCTGCAGGTTGTGGGTTCGAGTCCAGCCTGCGGCTATCAGGCGTGTGTCCTTGGGCAAGGCACTTTGTCACTCATTGCTTCTCTCCACCCAGGAGTAAATGGGTACCTGTGAGGGCAGAGATGGTTATTGTGATTGGTTTTAGATTCTTTTTTTCCCACCAAAATGGCAGCATCGAGCTGTATACTCCCTAAGGCGCTGAGATTGTCTTTAGCCCAATGAGCAGGGGTAATAATGATGTAGCACCTTGAGTATTAAATATTGGAGGATGCGTGTGCTTTATAAATACACATTATACCGGTAGCTTCTTGAGACCTCTCACATTTTCCAAAAATTTGAATTGGAAAAAAAGCCTGGATGTTCAGTAGATGATCAAATACTTCTCTGCATGTAATAGTCACTATTATTGGATTTGATATGAAAACCTTCAGACAACATTTTACAAAAAATTTCACATTGAATCCATTTCACCAACCACAAGTGTCTTTTTCCGGCTGTTTTTACCAAGTTTGCTCAGTGTTTTTGTGCTTTAGTGATTGTGCTGCGTGTGCAGTGTTCACAAACACGTATTGATTATGCTTGTGCACGCCTAATCCCACCCCACTCATGTTTTTTCCCCCCCATTTTCTGCTGTTTTTCCATCGAGAAAGTTTGTGAGTAGAATGTCATTTTGAAGTTTTTGATTACTAACATGAGGGGCATACAGCGTTGCCGCGTCAACATGTTGACCTGAGAACTACGTTGGTGAATTATGTCCTGTACGTGTGCATGTGCATGTACATGTACATGTACATGTACATGCCTTGTATTATGTGTCAAGTACATTATTGTATGTTTATTGTAATAGTCAAGGACGTTTGTCCTCAACCATGCGTGCTGAACTAAACACTGTGATGTGAATATTTTAACAGTTAATCTTCTACGTGTACCAGGGTAGGCTGTCAATAAATGTAGATCTTTCTCAATAATACTTTTCATAGTACATTTTTAGTCAACACACATGCAGACGTCTCTTGACTGGCATGCAGTGCAGTCAGGGGCGTTGCTATTTGGATAGGGGAGCTGATGACACCAATATCTGTTATTGTTTAAAAAATGATTGTCCTTTTGGCAAAATCATGTGCCTTTAGGCAAACGAAAGTGACAACTATTGTCTGGTAGAGTGAAATGTCTTCCATTTTGAACAGCGCCATCATTTGTCAGATGGTGTCCAGTCAAGCCCCTTTCTGTTGATTTCGCAGCAGCCGGGTAACCAGAAAAACATCCTTTTTGGTCTGTTGTCAAATTAGTTGTCCCCCTTCCAACTGGTCTGGCGATGCCCCTGAGTGCATTGTCCTGTTACTACATATGTATACCAGTGTTCCTGTGATCAGTTATTGTATAACACACTCTTGATATTTGGTCAGACAAAAAGCATCTACGTCTACACATTTACTAAGATATTTACACAGTACGTATTTCATGCAAACAAATTCAACAAAAATACAAGTACAACACAAGAAAAAAATACAAGAAATGGACATAATACTAATGAATTCTTAATCCTTGATCATGGAAAATTTTCTCTCTATTTTTGATTAGTTTGATAAAAAAGTGTATAATGTTGGACAATATTTAAATCTTCTCACTCAAAATCGACACATGCATTTTTCACATGACCAGGCATCTTCGTCTTCAAGTATTTTGTAGTTTCACACTTAGTTCCATTTGCACACATTGGCTGCGTTCAAACAAGTCACTGAGGTTAATACAGAAATTACTCCTGAGCATACAAACGGCAAGAGTATGACTCGCGGAGATTACATTGGGAGTATACACTTGCACCTGACCAGTCAGTCTTAAAATCAAGTGATTTCAAGATGTCGGAAAAGCAAACTTGTCCAAAGCGAAAAGCATTTTCAAATTAATTTTTGTTTCTGAAAAACCTACTTGTGTATTTATAATGTCAAAAGATGATCAAAAAGAGAAAAAGTGAAACTGCATTCATGTACCGGTATACATTATGAATTATGTTTGATCATGAGAGAATTACTGTCTGCTATTGCAACAGCCGTTGTACGCCTGATCATAAAACATTAATTGTTCGAGCGACGTGACCGGAATGCAGTGTGTGCTCAACCTTTTCCTATTTCAAGAGTGATCCACTTGAACGCAGCCAATGTATCATTCACTCGTTCTGAATTCATGTGTGTTTCGCACTGCACCTTCGTCTGTTCCTGCTCAGATTTCAAAACTGGTTAATTTGTAGGTTGGTTGTAATCACAAAAATGAAAAGAAAAAAAAGAAAAAATTGAATATTTGAATTTTGCTTTCAGCTGGCCATTGACAGCCCCGTCAGCCCAATCACCAGCATTCTGCCTCTGATCTTTGTCATATCTGTCACAGCCATTAAGCAGGTAAGATCAAAAGTTCACCGCAGTAATACTGGTATGTTTCTCTGTCTTGAGGAGTGATATTCTGGCATTCTCATAACTTGGAGACATATTGTAATGGAGACAATTTGTTTGGAGCAGTTTGATATTTTGGAGCATACCGGTATTGGATTGCCCTGGGCTAGACACGTATCGGTACTTGTCAAACAAAGCCTTGATATCTCTCACTTGCATTGTATATACATGAAGAGTCCGAGAACGGGCAGTGCACGTTGGAACAAGGCAAGACAAGCCTATTAAAAATGCTCCAGAGTGCGCAAAATTGTACTGAATTGATTCTGAATGGGTATTCATCATTTTCATGCACAAGGCCTACAATATGGGCCTGATTTAATATCTTCGTTGGCAATAACATCTTCGTTAGCCTGACCTGTTTCCTGCTTCTGGAAGAAGCTTACTTTTGAACGGTTCTACTTAGGGTAATTTCAGAATGAGGGCAAAGCAAGCACAGTATGAGAACACTATGTGCCAAAAGACTCAGCATTTATTTGTTCACATTGTAAATTCTTGGCAGGCCTATGAGGATTGGTTGAGACACAAAGCCGACAATGAAGTCAACAAACGGCCAACGCAGGTGGTACGTGACTGCCACATCAAGGAGGTGCAGTCGCAACAAATCAATGTAAGTGTTTGGAATTGACACAATCTTATTCGTCACTGCCTTTTAGACCAGGATACCAGTTTCATGGAGCTGCTAAACACAACAACTATGCTTAGCAAAAACCGGTTACCAGCCAAAGCTGCATGTCATTTCATCGCAATTGCTTGTAGGGTAATAAATACTTTGAGGACCCTGTTCCTATACAGGGTGGTCCCCAAAAACAAAGAAGAAGATAACATTTGTTCAGATGCCGATTTCTCAAAATTGTGGAGAAATGTTGAAATTGTTTCTATTGATATTCCTAAACTGCAAGATCTTGATGGTATATGGTGAAAACGGCTTTGAAAAATAACGCCTAAATTAAGAAGTGGCCATTTACAGCAAAAAAATGGTCAAATCTGCCTGCTTGCCCTGAGCTTAACCACACAAAAGAATTGTGATTACATGGCTTCATGGGCCAAGTTTGGCCTGTTGCCATGTACTTCAATGAAGATGAAGAATTAGAATTGTGCAGGGATTTGAAATGACTAGTTGTGAAGTGCGGAAGATTACAAGAGTTAAAGTTGGCTTGTTCCATGCTTGTACCAGGTGGGAGACATTGTGAAAGTCATGATGGATGAGGAGTTGCCATGTGACATGGTCCTACTGTGCTCTCAGAATGAAGACGGGGAATGCTACGTCACAACGGCAAATCTGGACGGAGAAACAAACCTGAAGGTAAACTGAAAAATGTAAATTTAGAGTGTTTGTATTGCCTTTAACTGAGTGAAAAGATTCTTAAAATAATAAGCCAGTTTGGTTTTGTGTTTGTTATAGCGATGTTCTTTTGTACTTTCACTACACTTGTTGATAAAAAAAAATCTTGGAGTTTCTTATCCCAAACTTACTTTTGTTTTGAAATTCCTATTTTTCAAGTAACACAAAAGTTACTCACTTTACTTTAAAAAGTTTCAAATTATGTGCGACCCAACAAAAATTCAGTTCTCGCAGGGTAGGCTGGTTCCTGCTTCCTATCAGAATCAATAGTGTAAGGGGCCCCCCCAGGAACTAGTCTACTCCTTTGACGGATCTATCAGAACGTAAAGAAGCTCCAAAATAAAACCCCTTTTTCAGAGGTTTGCAGATGCCCAAATTTGAAAACGGTAGTTTTCTTCGTTAAAATAAAGTATACAAGTTCAACAGTTATGAGAAGAAAAGAAGCTATACGCCTTGAAGACCACAGACAGTACATCTTTAAAGGTTCCTTGACCTACAACTGCAAAATTAGTGACAATAATTTTCTCTATTTGTTTAGATCTTTCGATCGTTGCCAGACACCGCCTTACTACAAGATGAGGAAGGATTAGACGCACTGTCAGCGATGGTAGAGTGTGAGCAGCCACAGCCGGACTTGTACAAGTTTATTGGAAGGATGAGCTTCTATAGCCCCAGTCAGCAACCCACAGTCAAGTAGGATCATCCACATTTCACAGACCTTTTTCCCAAACTTGGTTCCTCCGATCAGAGTGTTTGAGAGAGAATCACGGCTTTCTGACTGTTCTCATCCATTTTGTGTTGGGAAAGAATGTTGCAGCCTGACATGCTTTTTTCTTCAAATATCATTAAGTGAAGGTCAGTCTTCGCAAAAATGATGATAAGACGTGGATCTGGGACTGAGAAACATTTCCAGATTTGTTAGGAAATGCTAAAAAAAATGTCTTGACTCTCCATAGACTTTGTACACAACCGCTGCAGTGGCGTCAGGTTGCAACATTCTTTCCTTCTAATGCACTACCTGGATTTAGACTAAAAGGATATTACTATGGCTTTTTCCCACGTGCTGCATCTCTTTGGAATTCCTTGCCTGGTGCTTGTTTCCCTCCAACCTATGATCTGTCCTGTTTCAAGAGGAATGTTAATTCCTTCCTTCAGTTTTCCTAAATACCTACTCTTCTTTCTATTTCTCTAGTAGCCCTGTACCTGGAGTGGTTTTAGCCTTGTTCAGAGCAAATGGACATTAAAAAAATTGTCTTGCATACCTATGTTGAAATTGACATGGATCCACTGTAAACGGACATGGGTCTGGTCAAACTCAAGTCAGTCAGGCGTACGGTACCGTTTAGACTAGTACTGATCTGTACATGGGTCGGCCGTAATATTTTTTTCTACAGGGATATTTGGCTTCTCAACCCTGGTCCTGATTTACCAGAGCTGAATTTAAAATGATCGTTTCTCCTTCTGATACAAGCCTGTAGAGTTACTGTTGTAAGAGATTTCGAATGTTGGAATTTCTTTTGTCATTCTTCTTTCTAGATCACTCAGCGCAGAAAATGTGCTATTGAGGGGTTCCCGATTAAAAAACACACATTTTGTGTACGGTAAGTTTGTCAATGCAAGTTGTTTTAGGTATAGAATCTGCCTTTATTTCCTAATGATGCAGAAATGTGTCATTAAAAAACTCTCTCCTAGTTTGAAAGTGGCAACAGTTGCCTTTCAGTCCTGTGAAGACGGCAGAGCATGCTGTCCAAAAACATCGTGTTACCAAACCGGTTCTTTTCACAACCACACACAGTCACAAAAGAGATTTGAATACGCGGCGATACTGCAAACTTGACATCTTTAATTTCCTTTCAGCTAAAAAAAATGAGAGTAAAACAGTATGCTAAAAAAGTGACTATTTGAAAAGTGGAGAGAACTGAAACTGTCCAATTTTTAGACACTAGATGGTTTTGCATACTTTAGTTGACAGAGAAAGCGGAACTCATGGTAATTACATCCCATTTTATGTGCAACTTTTGGGAATGAAATGTTATAACTGTGACTATTGCATTTCTCGCAACAGTGGATTTTGGATTCCAAGCCTGGAAGACTTGAGCAAGTAGATACTTTTGCTGATGACTCCTAAATCCAATCGCTCTTTCTTTCCAGGGGTGGCAATTTACACCGGCAGGGAAACCAAGATGGCCCTCAACTCAAGACAAAAAGGCCAAAAGCATTCCTGTATAGAGAGGTAGGTTCAATTCCTACAAATACACAAGTCACAACCTCAAAAAAAAGGGAAACAAGATACAGATTACATGTCAGCTGGTTTTCAGAAGCAGCACGGGTGGAAAAAGATCATTGCATTTTACTCGTTGATACTGTATGTCAAAATGTTAACTCCAGGTAATTTTGCTGCAAGCGTTTTGTAGCATTCGCAGTAAGTATAAACTTGCCTTTAAAATCATTATTTCTATCATCAGAATACCTGACCTCTAAAGACTTCAGGATCTTCCAAGAACCAACTCTCTATCAGTGACAGTCGCTTCGCACAGTGTACTTGCATACTCTTAACTATCCAAAGTTTTTAAATGAACCCTCAGGATAGTTTTAGGTTTTTGAATGTTTTACCCTCAGCTCAATGAACAAATACCTGGTAGCCATGTTGATCTGGTTGATAGTACAGACAGGGCTAGCAACAGGCCTCAAGTACTGGACCGATCGGCGTGATTTCATGGTGAAATCGTGGTATGTCCGTCCAGTGGCTGAAGCATACGGAGATCTGGTCAGCAGTGTGAGTATATTCCAACCACTCATTTCAGTGATTTCTTGAGACACGTTAAAATCAGCAATTAAGGGTTTCAATTTGTAAAGTGATTGATGTATTTATTGTTGGTCCCCAGAGGGCCAAGCTTGTGTCCTTGTACCTAACTGACTGACTGACTCACCGACTGACTGTCCCTTGTGACTGGCATTAGTCTGGTACCAACTTTACGAGGCTTGCGTATTCATGTATGTCATGTAGCACCTACGTCACATGAGCATTAGTCTGGCCCCACTTGTCCAATGTACTATCAGGATACTTGTGTTGGCAATAAGTCAGGTCTCCATGCGAACGGGGAAAGTGAATTTCAATTTCCATCTCATTACCACTACAGCTTAACCTACAAACTTTTTAGCCATTCCGAATCAATTGAATAGAATTTTGTGCACTCTGGGACCAGCTTTATTAGGTTTGTCGTGTGTTGTTTTTAATGACACCTGCAATGACAGTAATAATAAGGATAAGGCCAACTATTTCAACCAAGGAGTTTTTTGTTCTTTCATTTTGACAGGCAACGGTCATCTTTACAGATTTCTTGTCATTCCTCGTTCTCTTCAACTACATCATTCCAATCTCCCTCTACGTCACAATCGGTGAGTTTCTAGAGAGATTTTTTTTCTTCCAAATGTTAAACGACAATGTTCTAGAAATACTTCAAATGTAGAATTGTTCTATTGCTACTTCTGTAAATCTTTTAACCATCTTTCAGAGAATCCCCTTAATTGAAAGTAATGTCAATTTTCTTCTTGTTTTCAGAGTTACAAAAGTTTTTAGGATCCCTGTATTTCGGCTGGGACGTAGACATTTACGATCCTGTAAGTATATTCCAACGATTCTAGCACTTTTTGTTTATCAAATCTGACTTCTTAAAAATGCTCATTTTTACAATTAAAAGAACTTTCTCAATTTAAAAATTTATGAAGTTTGATTGGAATGTTGTAGAATAATAAATTCATGACAGTGGTTATTTCGTGAATTTGATCAGTGGAGAGTCGACCATGCCTCAATCCTGCAAAATCCTTCATCAATCTCTGTTAAAATGTTGAGACAGTGCGGATGATATCCAGAAGCAGTGCGGATGATATCCAGAAGCAGTGCGGATTATATCCAGTATAATGTAGGCCCCGGTTATGCTTGGCTGAACTAAATGCTTGGTATAGCTAAAGACCTTCATTCATTCCAAATGAACAACACTTTTTTGGCATACATCCTCAAGCCTCCAAAATCCTCCAAAACGGCCTGGTTGATTTTGGAGGTTTGAGGAGGGTTAGGGTTGATGAATTTCTCTTTTTTTTGTAACAGAAAGCAGACCTTCGTGCCAAAGCCAACACCTCAGACTTAAACGAGGAACTGGGTCAGGTGGAGTACATGTTCACCGACAAGACCGGTACACTGACGGAGAACGACATGCAGTTCAGATACTGCTCGGTAGACGGCATCAAATACACAGAGAAGGAGGGCAAACTGGTACCCGGCAACAAATCCATAGCTACTCCTGTAAGTGAACTGTATCAAGTAGTATGGAATCAACCTCGGTCCCATGGTGTCGAGCAGTACACTCCCACTACCTGGTCTCTCACCATGGTATTGGATCATTTGCATGTTCAAATATCTTGCTCATTCAACTTAGGTACAGAATAGTCTGGTGCCTGCCCGTATGCGTTGTCCAGGGTACAGTGAGATCAATTCGGGCGATTCACATTGCAGTGTGCCATCAAGAGTTTTCCACGGAGAGTTCGTTTTTCAAGGTTGCGGTCGACAAAACATGGCCCGTTTGAACGAGTGTCAGTAGAAAACTTGAGCTAATTTGTTATAGATTGGGGCAAAGCGTTCTGCCCCCTTACAAAAAAAACTCCATATTGATAAAACGAAAAGAAAAGGGCAAACTGATACTCGAATCATACGCTTACGAACTTTCTGGCCGGAAAAAGTAACAATTTCAAATGTCCCGCGCTGCGAATTTGTCCTGGGCAAAAAACGTCTGAAACCCAAAGGCAACCTTGTATCTCCATTCAACCCAATGCAGGAGGCGACCAGAGAGTTCCTGCTCTGCCTGGCGCTCTGCCACACTGTTCACGTCAATAAAGACCAAGATGGGGATGAGGTTGATGCACCCAACCCTAATGAGGATTACACGCTGTGGCAGTATGAGGCCTCATCGCCAGATGAGAAGGCACTGGTTGAGGCCGCTCAAAGGTGAGTTGTCATCACAAGTCAGTTACATGTCGATCATGAGTCGGTCACAATTCAGTCACGAGTCAATCTCAAGTCAATCACAAGTCAATCACAAGTCGGTCACAAGTCGGTCACAAGTCAGTCACAAGTCGGTCATAAGCCAGTCACAATTCGGTTACAAGTTAGTTACAATTCATCACAAGTCAGTCACTAGTCAGTCACTAGTCAGTCACAAATCAATCTCAAGTCACCTAGTCACAAGCTATTTAATTAAATATCATTGTTTCATCTTCTGTTACTTACGGCCCTGTGCACTCTTGTTATGTGCAGGTTTGGTGTGGTCCTAACTGCCTCCACTCAGGAGTACATTGAGCTTATGATAGATGGGGACCTGGTTCGATTCCAACTGCTGCACATCTTGGAGTTTGACCCAACCAGGAAGTGCATGAGTGTTATCATAAAGAACCCCGAGGGTATGTATGACCTGTTGTGTTTGGGTATATGACTAGGTATTTGCTATAGGGATTGTACATTTTGGGTTTATTATTGAATGATAACTGTAAACAGTCCAATTTTTAACAGAGGCGCATTTAAAAAAAAAAATTCACTTCAATATCGACTTTTGCCCTCCACTAATGTAAAGACGTAAACACTGTTTATTCAGCACTATCCTGTTAGTTTCAGGAAAAAAATTGGGTGGGGACTCGAACCCATGACCTCCTGCTTAGTGGTACAGACATCTTACCACTCGACTGGGAACTTGCCAGGTTCGGCTGGCTGGTTTGAATCTGCCATAACCTCATGTACCGAAATCAGTCACTTTTAATATGTATGGTGGACTTTTGCATCAGGGAGATGTTAATTCCGGATGATCAATTTGTGTAGTTTACATAATTATTTCCATCTTGTCTTTTGTTTTTTTGAAGGGAATGTGCAAGTCTTATGCAAAGGAGCTGAATCTACAATCCTAGCTAGGAGTGTGTCTGGACAGAAAGATATCACCCTGGATCATGTCAACGATTATGCTGTGGTTAGTACCTTTAAGATGCTTTTACGATGCTTTTACGATGCCTTGTCAAGTTGTTCTTTTGGGAAATGATCGAAATTCAAATTTCGCTTGGCCAGCTCTCATGGCAACTGTCTAGCATGCCTGGAGGAAAGACATTGATAAATTCGGAAAAATTGCCGACATATGGTTTGATAGCTCAGTTTGAAGAGCGCCGTAGTCAATTTCTTTGTTCAACATCATCAAGTTTCTTTCCTCTTTACTTCTTGACTGTGGAACTCGTTGTCAAGATCTTGCTTTCCCCTATCATGAAATATCACAATTCAAGAAAAATATCAACAGACTACTGTCTTTATAACATGCTTCTCTATTTTCTGTTTGTAGTGGCCTTGTGGTTGGCAATTTCCATTGAAAAACGTAGTTGGTTTCCTTTTTAAATTTTGTTTATTTCATGATTTCTGGTTTATTTTGCTAGGAGGGGCTTCGGACGCTCTGCTTTGCCAAGAGGGAGCTGAGTCCTGAAGAGTATGAAGACTTTCACCACCAGCTCCATGAGGCATCCACAGCCCTGGATGGCAGGGAGGAGAAGGTTGGCATGATCATGTTTCATACTAAGTTTCAAGTTTGAAGTTTATTTCATATTAGTACAAAATACAGGTAAATGTACCAGTGCATAGCTTAACCCTAACTGCCCTGAATCCTCCAAAATCCTTTTTGCAAATTGGAGGAATTTGCAGGATTGAGGTTACATGGCAAAAGTGCGTTGCTGATTTCGAAGTACGCACTGTGTCAAGGTCTTGGGCCGGACCTTGTGTTGTTTATGCTCAGCCGTGCATAAATTTAGCCCTTGATTATACTTGACATCCTCCGCACTGCTCCAGGATGTCACTGCCTCTGCCTCAGCCTATTGACAGTCATAGCCGGAGGATTTTGCAGGATTCAGGCAGTGGTCACCCCTCCATGGACCATATTCAAGAAATAGCGGAGGAATTTGCAGGATTGAGGCTATATGCTATTTGTCCATGAGGCCAATTGGAGGATTTTGCAGGATTGAGGCTACATCCTAGCAAAATGGCCTAGGGAGTTAGGGTTAATACTATGAGGAGTTCAGACAATAAACCGAAGCTTGTATTTGGTCTGCCCCCTTCTCAAAGAATACATGAATTCAAATTTTAATTTAATGATCCCGGTTTTACAAAATTAATGAAGATAATGTATAATGGAACAAAGAATTGTTAATAAATTACATTGATTTCCCCAGTCCTGAAAACCAGTTTATACAAATGTCATGTTACGAAATATTCACAACAAAATTTGCTGGAGTTCTATTGTTGTTCAGCTTTTCTGAATTCACAGTACAAGGTTTGAACTGGACGTCACCAGTTTGTATTTGTACACACTTTGGCACTGAGTAGGAACTAGCCCTTATTTTTACAATTATTATGTGTTTCTTGTAAGCTACTTCCAACAGTTGATCCCAACAAAAAGATAAAACAAATATTTGGTTCACACTTTTCTTGTTCAGCTTACCCAAGTGTTCAATAACGTGGAACAGGAACTGCATCTACTGGGTGCGACCGGTGTGGAAGACAAACTACAAGATGGCGTCCCGGAGACCATCGAGGCTTTGCGTACAGCTGGAATTAAGGTAGGCCAGACTAATATTACACAAAAATACAGTGCAGTTGTGTCAAACAACGCACTCCTGATGCAACCATTGATCTCCATGTAAACAATCCAGATAGCTCATTGGGTGTTCAAATTGAAGCCACTATCCGCCATATTACCACTCCCATAACAATGGAATTGTAAACAAATATAAAAATTATTGTAATTTTATTTCCATGCTTACGTTTGTGACTGAATATAATTATTAATTAGAAAACAACAAAATAATCGCCTGAATAATTGATATAAACAATTTTGTACATTTTTTTTTATAAACTTGAAGATATTTGTAGTGTATTTTATTGTACGATTGGAGTGGTATACACTGGTTTCCATACAGCATTTGAATGGGGGGATAGGAAACCAGTGCATAGCTTCATGTTTTTTTACACTGGAGATTGGTGAATACAACTCTTGCTGTCATGTTGATAAAATGATAACCTGATTCAACTGCTGTTTTATGAAAGGTCTGGGTGCTGACAGGTGACAAACAGGAAACGGCGGTCAACATCAGTCACTCCTGTAAACACTTCAAGCCTCACATGCAGGAGTTGATGCTAGTCAAGCAGGCCAATGCGCAGGAATGCGGCGAGACATTATGGCGATTCCTTGAACAGTAAGTCCACTTATTCTTTCCAAAGGTCCAATCTTACACATCCATCATCTAGTAATGGTCAAGGAAATGACAGACTTGGAGTTTTGGATCATTTTTCAGAATCATTAATTAGATAATCATTTGCTCTGTCATGGACATTACATTTTCTTTCACAACGCTGGAGTTGCCAGTAGCATTTCTTTTGGTTGGCAGTTTTGAGGAGGGAACCTTGCTTTATAGTGTAGTTTCATTTTAGCTGTTGCAGCATTGGGCTGTGATTATAACCGATACTAAGTAATGATTAAAACTTTGGGAAATTAGATGAAGTGATGGAAAAATTAATTGGACCTGAGTTTTCCTTTTTCTGTTTTCAGAATGAGAGCCGAACCCCAAGTGAAGTACGCGATGGTGGTTGACGGTCCGAGTTTATTCCACGCATTGGAACACCACAAGGACACGCTGCGTGATCTGTGCCTTAACTGCGTGGCTGTCTTATGCTGCAGAATGTCTCCACTCCAAAAAGCTGAAGTACGTTGATAACATTCATAATGTTGATCACTCCCCAAATGCAGCTCTAACTATATTTGTATGATACACATGTTTGAAATAAATACATCCTGAAACATTCGGTTGAGGCAGCGTAGTTGGTGGAGCACTAGTGTAGTATTCTTGGCGTTGAAGGTTTAAATTCTGCTCTTGTAAATTTTCTTTTTACGGCCCTAATATCGAGACATTGAACTGGTGACTTCTCCTTTTTAAAAATGTTTTCCTAGAGTTTTAAAAATCGCTGTATAATTTCATTCTGAACAAATGTATCACACTGATCTGCCATTAATAAAAGAAAACACCTCTGTGAAGATCCCTTTAAATATCACTGAGGATTTCTAGTGAAACTTATATTTTTTTTTACCTATTGGGACAGTGATAGTAATGATTTGTTGTTTTAGGTTGTCAAGCTGGTGAAGTTCTCTGACAGTCGACCAACTACCATGGCTATCGGCGATGGCGCCAACGATGTCAGTATGATCCAAGAAGCTCACATTGGTCTTGGTAAGTTTACGTTTTGTAATTCAGGTTTTTGTTTGCTTTTTTTTCACCTAGACAACTGTCAAGTCTCATCTAAATCACTTGGCTGTGGCTAGGGTCTAGGTCTTCGTCCATTACAGCAACATGGGAACATGCTGATAATAGACTTAACTGTAGCTCTGGAAGCCAGTTTTGTAAAAAGGGGTCAGGGGATGGGGGGGGGGGGGGGGGGGGGCAAGCCACCTTACCCCACTTGCCTCTCTCCACCCAGGAGTATAAATGGGGACTGCTGTTAGCTGGGAGAAATTGTAGATGGACACATATATTGATAGATGCATTAGACAGGACTCACATTTTTTTCCTTGCTATTGCCTTATACTTTTGTTTGTTGGTCTTTTTTTTGCAAGGCATCATGGGTAAGGAGGGTCGACAGGCTGTCCGATGTAGCGACTATGCATTCTCTCGCTTCAGGTTTCTTATAAGGGTGCTCCTAGTACACGGAGCGTGGTACTACAACCGCATTGCAATCACTGTACAGTACTTTTTCTACAAGGTGAGTTGTTCATCATAAAGTTGTGTTGGGTTGTGTTGGGGTTGTGCTGGGTAGGGGTGGGCTGGGGTGAGCTGGGCTAGGCCGGGCTGGGCGGGGCTTGGTTTGGGTTGGTTGGATTGAGCTGCAGCTACCAAAAGTGCACATCGTGCATAAATTATTGTTAAAATCACAAAAGTGATTATTGAATCTCGGCACTCTATCCTAACTGTTCATCCCATTTTGTCTTTTTGCAGAATATTGCCTTCATCACCGCTCAGTTTTTCTACGCCTTCTATTCTGCCTTTTCCGAGCAAGTGAGTAGACCGAGACTCAACTAAATTCATTGAAGCTTCTCCCAGGACTAACCCTTATTTTGTCAGAGAAATGTTTTACAAAGAGAAAGTGTCATTTTCAGACGCACTCCCTTATTACCACATTATTTGTCTTAAATATCTCCTTTTCTAGACTGTGTACGATAGCTTCTCTCTGACACTGTTCAACATCACCTACACCTCCCTACCCATTCTCATCTATGGTATCGTGGAGCAGCATCTCTCCAGCGAGACGCTGGTCAATAACCCGCGGCTCTATCGGGAGATGCGGCAGAACGCCAAGCTGACATGGATTCAGTGCATCTACTGGCTTGTGCTGGGTAAGCTGATCTGGTTCCCTGACCTGTACACTTGCTTATTTCCTGCTTGAAAATTAGTCAGGTTCCTTGTCTCTCATTAAGCCCTGTTTGAAACAGGTTTTGTTTTTTAATGGCTACGGCTATGCACCATAGTGCAGCCATTGCAAAAATCAAAGCCATTGCCACAAAATGCAGATTTTGAACATAGGTTTTGCTTATGTCCGAATTGACCATTTTGGTCTATGGCTATGGATTATCACAACAGCCATAGCCTTTAATGCCAGATTCAGCCACAGCCTTCTATATTGGATACCTGTTGCAAGTATAATTGCCAGGAATAGCCATTCAGACATGGGCTGACTTGTTGATTTGGCTGTCAGCAGGACTGGGCTCCTGACTTTAATGAATAGCTTTACTATACTAAATGGACTCTGACCATTTTGTGCCCAGACTAGACACTAATCACTTGCTCCTTGTTGTGTGACCTGTAAATAAAACTGATTCCCTGACTCCAATGAATGGCTTAACAGTACACAGTAAACCATGACTATTGGGTACCCTGACTATACAACCTAAGATGTCTCACCAAGCCACTCTGCAGGAAATTATCCTTTTTTAATGTCAACGATTTTGATTGTTTCCATTTGTGTCTAGGTACGGTTCATGCCTTAGTCATTTTCTACTTCTCCATGTTGCTCTTCAAGGATGATGCATCGCTGTACCAAGATCAGAAGGTAAGGCATTTGTTAAACATTTTTTTTTTTAATCTCTATATTTTTAGTACGGTTGCTATGACTTCAGTTGTTGAAATTCAAATGTTACAGAGCTCAAAAAGTTATGGTTAATTTTATTTATAAAAAAACCCTAAGATCTGGGCCCGATTTCAAGGCTCTGCTGACTGTTTGCGAGAATTGCTGCTAACTATATAGCTGAAATTCTGTGCTAACTGTTAGCGTATTTCATGAGTTCGCAAGGAATGTAGGCTTGAGCGCATGCGTACATCCTGTAAGTAAGGCAGTTGTGCTTACAGGGCTAGTGCAGAATTTCCTTTCTAGCTCAGTAAGCACAGCATTGAAGGCTGCAAGCGCAGAATCCGGTGAATCCATGAAATTGGGCCGGGTTCTAGTGCGGTGTAGAAAGTTTTAATCAAGTGGATAGGTTAAGCGGTCCAGGCTACTTTTGGAGTCCTGTTAAAGCTGTTTTCTTGACGTACTTGTTGCCGTTTTGTTCACAGAGCATGGGCAACTGGTGTTTAGGAACCATTCTGTATACCTGCTGTATCCTCATCGCTAACATCAAGGTAAGTGTGAGACAGTCAAGATACAAATTCAAAACTTTTGAGGTTTGTATTCTGACTTATGACTGATTTGAGATGATTTAGGATTGGTTTGAGATGACTTGTGATTGACTTCAGATGACTTGTGACTGACTTCATATGACTAACGATTGGCTTGAGATGTCTTATGATCGACTTGAGATGACTTGTGATTGATTTAACATGATGACTAGCGATGGCTTGAGCTGACTTACTATTGACATTTTGTAATTTTTGGAATTTCAGCTTGGAATAGAGACTCGATACTGGAATTGGATTGTCATTGGTTCCATGGCGCTCTCCATCTTAGGCTACCCGATACTTACCTCCATCTACACAGCTTTCATATGGTATGTACAGCTGATTAATATCATGGTGAAAGTTACAGGCAGTCAGTGCACTATGGTGTGATGTTGACAGGTTTATTTAAAGGCAGAGTAAATCATTTGCATATATCCAGAAAGTAACCGACCAAATTATTGTTAAAAAGCATATTGATCTGTTTGTTTGTTTCAAAATCCATAATTTCTAAATCTCACTAATTGTTCTACCTTGACTGATTTTTTTCCTCAGGTACAAAGTGCTTGGTGGATGGTAAGTGACTTTCTGCTTTTTTCCCCCAACTGTCTTAACCGTAAATATGGTTGGACACAGACAAGTTAATGTCAATAAAGTAATTTGATTGTTGAGAAGATTGAAGAAAATTGTTACTTATACTTCCCCCAAAAGACATCGCAACCATAAGTTGAACTTAAGACAAATACATGCTTTACACACAGATCCACAGTTATATGCATGCATGTGGTATGATTGCTTAGGCCAGTTTGTGGCGTCAGAATTTGAGTTTACAAGGATTTGAGTTTACAAGTATTCTTTTTTAGAAGCAAAAAATGCTCTTTTTTCACTTTGACAATAGATTAATTCATTAGGCCCTGGTGATGTTTCGTCCAATTACAGCTCTGATACCAAAACCAAACGTCAGTGGCATAAAAATCTTTCTTCTTATTGTCTGTGAATGTACTAAGTAATTTGTAAAATTGGTTACGGATTCCCGATCCCATTATCTGAAACTGGTGCCTGACATCAGTGGTTGGGTACTCGGGTCCCCGGCTCCGATGCACAGCCCTGATACACACATTCAGTTTTTCCCTGTGATGCTTGTTCTTCAGGGATTTCTTTGACTCGACCGACCCCTACTACGTCTTCTTCATGTCTCTCAAGAGCTGGCCTGTCTGGTTCGGCATTCTCCTCACCATCGCAGCCTGTTTCCTTCCCGACTTCGTCTACAAGACCTGCCAGCTCTACTTCTTTCCATCAGAGAGCCAGGTTGCCAATGTAAGTCTAAATTTCATGAAGATATTTGTGTCTCTTCCCGTGACTGAGAACTTTCTTTTTTTGTTAAGTTGTTGCCCGCGGTTGCCATTAATAGGAGTATCTTGTTTCAGGTTTGGTTTCAGCAGAACTTGTTGGCAATAATCACAAAAAAACGTTCTGCTGAAAAACTTTAAAGGTGTGCTTTGAGAGTTTTACTCTCAAGAAAGTTGAACAAGCGATGCAAATCTAGTCAGACTTGGAAAACGATGATTACTACTATAATCTAACAAGTGCTGCACTGAGAATGCCTGCTCATGTTCAGCTTGCTTGACAAGCACCTTGAGAAATATACCACTGCCGTTATGATTTTCAAGAGCATGTGTTTTTTCCAGAGATAGATTTTGGTCCTTGCTGGGATGTCCATGTATACTGATTTTGGGCTGGCCTGGCTTTGCCTGTAGACTGATAAGCTAACCTTTAGGACAGGCAACGTCTTCAAAACTTTCACAGTTTTAAGCGTTGCTTTGCACTGTGACATTATTTTTCCTGTTGGCTGCCTAGCCTAGTTCTTGAATACACATACTGACAGAATGCAGCACCTTTTTTGTGTGTGTTAATATTGAAATCAAGTTGACCCCTCATTAGAGGTCATCAAAACAGTGACAGACAGGCCGTTGCCTGACTCTATATCTGCGTGAGCTATTGGGGCAGTGTAGGGACACAGCATCTACTACTGCAGTCTACAGAATGTTATGAAGCATGTGACAAAATGTCTTTGTTATGTATTGAGTATGATACACAGCGTGTCTCAAAAAAAAAGTAGCAGTCAGACAACATTTTTTTCCTGAGGAAACTAAACTATGGGACGATAAAGTGTTTCTTTACCCTTGGTTGGTCTGTGTATTTGGACCTTTTATTTAAAAGTTACGGCAAAGCTTGTTAAGACTTTCAAAATCTGTTTGGGCCACTTGTCAGATTATCTGGTATCTAATGAAAGGCATTCACACACCTTCTTGGTATGTGAATGCATTTCATTAGATACAAGATAATCTGAAAAGTGGCCCCAACTTGGAATTCAAGTCCTTTCATTTAATTAGCTGTATCTCTGGACTGGGTTGTCCAAATGAGATGGGATAAAGACCATACTATACCTTAAGATTCTATAGATAAGATTTGCAAAGAGAGAGTGCTAGTATTTTTATTATTTATAGATTGAGCGTTATGTTTTTTGAGACACGCTGTACATGGACCTGACTGGAAATATTTTGTGGGAAACAAATTATTTCACCTCATTACAAATCACAAATGGCCTACACAGGTTTTATTCATCATAAATTTTGCCTTTACATTGGGTCTTTACATTGTCATTCTTAGCGCTTGAGCGTCCTTCAATATTTTCGCTTTTTGTCATTTTTCACTATTTTGGAGATACTCCTATGTAGAGTCCTCGGGAATTTCCCATCAATGCACGCCGCGCCTGTATGGCACAGATGCTTTGAATCATATAGTATCAGAAACCATGCACAATTTCATGATTTGCGATTTTAGAGTTTAGAGTTCGCACACTTCCGGTCATTGTATCTTCCCGTCATTGTATCTTCCCATCATTTTATCTTCCCGTGAGAAAAGGCTATGAAAAAAATTATTCTGACTCGTCAAAAGTTTTGTGTTAAACCATAAGTCCCTGTACATGTACCCCACCAAACCGCCCTACCTTCACCGCCCTAAACCGCCCATTTAGCATTCATCGGGGAATAAAATACAATGTAATACAATGTAATACAATGTGATACAATGTAATACAATGTAATACAATGTAATACAATGTAATACAATGTAATACAATGTGATACAATGTAATACAGTGTAATACAATGTGATACAATGTAATACAATGTAATACAATGTGATACAATGTGATACAATGTAGTACAGGTGCTAATGGGTTAATGCCATGGTAGATGTTCACAGTTTTTCACAATTTCATAGCTCTTATAAAATCCTCTTGTAGTGCCTATATTTTTCCCAGTTTTAAAAAGTAAATTTTCTCAAAATGTTTTCCTCCTGTGATATCTGTTCATGTAACAATTTTTTAAAGTGTACTTTAAAAAGAAAGTACCAACGAAAATGCAGCTGTCCACTATTGGTGAGTCCACGTATGATAAACTAAAACATTTCCCTATCCAGAACACCTCCCTGCCCCAATGTGCGTAACTGGCAATTACGACACATACCTCTCTAACTTCCGACACTTTTATCTTGCCAGCCAACACCGTTATGTCAAGGAAATACATACATCTTGAAAGAGTTTCGGCTACCTTGGTCACGTCGGGAAAGAAGCACAAGTCGACAGGACCTTGTGTCTCAAATCAATTAGTTTTGCTCTCAAAAAGCACTAAAAACAAGTCCAAAAGTAAGAGAAGAACAAGGTTGCACATTTGAATACTGCTTGAAGCTGTCAAAGTTTGCATTTTGCTTCACTTTTTTTTTCTGCGGCAAATGCTTTAAATGGTCATCCTTCATGTGCAATATAGCTTTAAGCTTTTTCAAACTTGTTGGTGTAGGATTGTTCTTGAAGGAAAAGTCTCTGTCTGTACTATTTTTTAGCCCTCTAGACTTCTGGACTCTGCTCTGGGCAATAATATGGGACCATTTTAAAAAGGCTTATCCATTAATCATGCTTGCATACATACAGCTGGCAATTTTGGAAGCAACATATTCTTAAATTTATTTTGTCATGTAACCCCTGACCTTTCTAAATGACAGGCACATCCTACTTTGGAGAAAAAGTAAATACTTCCAAGTGAAGAAGAAAATCACTCCTGCTATATCTTGCCCCAAATTATTGTAAAGTAGTTTATGTCATTTCTTAGGCATTCGTACTGTGCACCATATATGTTCGTAACTTTAGTTTTCAAATTAGGTTTTGCCCTTCACCAACGTATAAACACTGTATACTCAGTGTGTCACCTAATAAATGAAAGGTTTGCGGAAACACCATGTGCAAGTAATTTCTCAAATAAGAGAATGGTTTAAAAAAAACCCAGAGGTATAAACTCGACGTTCCGGTCAGTATGCTCTGACCGTCTTCGGTTAGTGTTACCTCCCGAGTCAAAGTTGGAAAAAATCACTCGAGTGGGACTCGAACCCACGACCTCTGGAAGAATACACAAAAGTGTGGGTTCACAACACTCACTGCATTCTCAACTCTGTCCCTCTCTCTCTGTTTTTTCCCTTCCTTTTTTCTTTTTTAGGGGGGATACTTGTAAGTGGATTCAACATCCCTCAAATGTTTATTATCTGGAGGAAAGAAGACTGGGAAAGAAAAAAAAAAAGAAGATAAATTTGTCGTTCATTTTCAAGCCTGTTTTCTCCGCAGCTTAAATGGCACTTTGGCAGATACGAAAAGCTGGTCGAGCCAGAGTATATTCTTAGGAATGGTGCCACCGCGACCGACCAACAGACGCACATTCCTCAAACAGTTTACGGCACTGTTTGATGACCCCCTCCCCCAGGTCAGACATCTTTTGTTGCTCCCACGCTTTCTGTCACAATCCAGTGATGCAGTGTTTATAGGGGGTGGGAGCAACAAGCTTACATGGTGAATACTCACTTTCACAGAGAAACCATCTTTAAGTTCAAACTTTGCTATAATGGTGAATTTTAATGATATTCCCCCCCCCCCCATAAGACTCCACAAAGGAAGCCCTATATTGGATCACCCCAAATGGTGTTCAAGCAGAACATATGGAATATATGCAATACACGGTCATCCTCTTGAGCTATCTTGACATCTTAAAAGCACGACTTTAAAACTAAAATCACAATAATACAATGATTCAAGAAATGCTGCAAAACTAAAATGTGCCTGTGCCTGACACTGCACATATGAGTGATTTACTCATGAGAGCGCGTGTGCATACGCGTATACCATAAAATAGAGCCTTCCTATTACTTCACTAAGTAGCTAAAAAACTCCTGTATCCAAAGCTAGTGCAGCTGAAGCCAAAGTTTGGAAATGCTCTAAGAGCTATTTGCCTCGTGCACAGCCCATAGAGGGCGCCACATTGCATGGCAGCAACAGTGACAAGTAAATATCCCTGGTTCAGTGCCAACATACAGACAGACATTTTCTCTGCAATTCCACCACCACAAGAGGGCCGATGTGATATCAGAAGGGGGATAGGTTACCACTGCATCACTGGTTACCATCTCGCGACATACCGGCTAACACTGACAGGGTTTTCTCAGGAGGGTGCCTAACTGCACACTTTGCAAAGCTAGCTAGTCAAAAATATAACCAAAAAAAATCCTTCCTGCTTGCATCTTCAAGAACTACTTACAGTGCATAATATGTAACTTTACCTGATCTTCTAGTATAGATTAATATGCTGTACTAACATTCTGTCTGTTTAGATTTTCTAAAGATTTTCTTTTGGAAAGACATTGAAGAGGCACACATGTTGTTGCCCACGTGTGCAGTGGGTGGGGTCTAGTGTGCAGTGGGTTGGGCCTAGTGTGCAGTGGGTGGGGTCTAGTGTGCAGTGGGTTGGGCCTGGTGCGCAGTGGGTTGGGCCTGGTGTGCAGAGGATGGGGCCTGGTGTGCAGTGGGTGGGACTTAGTATGCAATGGGTGGGGCCTAATTTGTTGGTCTACTGTTACCTATACACAAACAGATACATAAAAAATTGTTTAATTATTTGCTACCATTTGCAATAGTTCTAGCTTAGTTTTTACATTTACCAACAGAGATCACATCATCTATACTTATCTTTCAAAGTTTTCAAACTATCAGTTGCTTGAATGCTTGTTGTTGCTTGCACCTTCCTGAGAGTTTCCTGTCAGTGACATCATGATGTCAAACATCACAGTGACCTCATACCCTACCCATCATGCTTCACTGATCATGCGCGGACATTCACTCATTATGATTGTACATGTGCATTTACCAACCCACAACTCTTAGAAAATCGAGCAGTGCCATTTATATCTGCAGCCCCATTGATTAACAGTATGCTTAT